TGTTTTTTTCTTTTCAGTTTTTATTTGAAGTATAATTAAGCAGTCGAGTTTTTTAATTTTTTAATTTACCTTTTTTGTTATAAGTTGTTTAATCTGACTATGTTAAAACTCTCTCTGGTACTATAACTGTAATAACCTTCGGGCACTGTTTGGTCTATTAATATTAACTTATATGCATGTACCTCAATATTATGTAAATGACTGTTTGTTGCCAAAATAAATGAAAATGAAATTATAAAAATACCAAATTTAATAAAAAGAAAAGATAATTGGATTCAAATCAAGAAGTAGTTTTTGGAGGTAGCGCCAATATAAGACTAGATGAAATCAAATGCACGAGTAAGTGTCGCTGCATACGGGCCACACGCCACAGCCACAAACGCCGCCACGAGAAGCTAGAAGCTGCTACTAAAGTGGCTGAAGCGCGCGCCAGCGGCCGACTAAGGCAATGGAGAGAGGGGTGGGGAATCGCGCGAGTGACGTGTGGCGGCGTTTTGTATCGGCGCATTAAGTGGCCGGTGCGGACCACAAGCAGCGAGCAACGACGATTTGTACCGTGTGTCCATATAAAATGTATGAAAACTACAAGAAATATGCCGGTGGCGGCGTTTTGTGGTTGTGGTCGGTGGCCCGTGTGCGGCGATACTAAATGAAAAATTCCAGGCACCAGAGTTGCTTATTACCAATTCAGTTAACAGTAAGAATACAACATGAGGAATGAATGACGCAATTCAAAATTGAGACACAAATTACACATGGCCGGCAGCGGGCGACTGAGAGATGTGTGTCAGGTACCCCTATATTAAGGGTGTTTCTAACGACAAAAGCAATTGTTGACATTTCCAAATGCAAATAACAATTATTCAAAGCTTGACCTTGGGCTAGCTCAGACGGACCGAAACCTTCAACATTTGAAGGTAATGTTATTCTAATTAATTTTTTTCGTTTCTCTTGGTATGAAATCACGCACAACTGACACTTAAATATGAGTAGGATATGGAGGAGCTCGATGGCGCAGGTGGCTAGCGCATTCGACCCGCGATCGTGTAAGTTAAGCAACTTTCGCAATGGTCAGTCATTGGATGGGTGACCCGAACTTTATAATCTCGAGCTCCTTTGTGCTACGGAAGGCACGTTAAGCCGTTGGTCCTGGCTGAATTCGCAGTCGTTATTAACCACCATTTCGCACTGGGCCCGCGTGGTGGATCACGACCCAATCTCCCTTTTCCATCCATAGGGAAGGCCTGTGCCCCAGCAGGGGGTTATTAATAGACTGATGATGATGATGATTGGCCCCACTGGTAGATCGACGGACAGAATCATATGGAGAATGAACTATCACGAGGGCCAATTGCAGATCGGTGGGGGAAGTATTTAATATTGTGGGAGTCCATCATTTCATTTATCTAATAATTATATTTCCCATATACGCTTTCCCTTTATAACCCCTTTCAAATTTTCAGGAAAAACGGATAGATCAGGTCAAAGTGAAATGCTCACTCTAAACTGTGTAGATTTAGGACAACTTAACTTTTATTTATGTAAGTTAATGTTGATTTACGTGATATCTAATTGTACAAGAGACTAGAACATAAGAAAGAAAGCAAATAATTTTATTAACCCTTAAAAAAACACAACATACTTATGTAGTAAAGGCTAACCAGGACACTGCCTCAGCATTAGCTGATGCGACATTGTGTCACACCATATACATATATGTCACATAAGAAACATTAAAAAAATGGTATTATGTAACCTAGAACATTGATGTTTTCGACGACCTCCGTAGCCGAGTGGTTTGTACGCCGGGTTTCAAAATTTGGCCTACTCGAGAAATCCTGGGTTCGAATCCCGGTGGGAGCAGATGTTTGTGTGGTGAATACGAGCATTTGTATTCCAGTCATGGCTGTTTAGTATGTATTTCTATAGAAATATAATTATATATGTATCAGTATATGTATTATTTCCGTTACCCTAGTATCCCATAATACAAGCCTACAGTGCTTACTTTGGGGCTAGGCTGATTAGTGTGAGTGTTGGAAATATATATGTATATATCTTTATATATATAATTCTTCTGTGAGTGTGTATGTCACTGAACTTCTCTTAAACGACTGGACCGACTTTGATGAAATTTTTTGTGTGTGTTCAAGGGGATCTGAGAATGGTTTAGATTCACAAAGACGTGTAGACAGGACAACGTCTGTCGGGTCCGCTAGTATAAATATATATTTATTGATATTTATAGTTAGATCCTAATAAACAAGTTATTTTTAGTTTGAATTCAATTGATGTCAATAAGTATCGAGCTCAGAATTCAAGATCTTATATGAAAAATAGAACTGTGATAATAGGACAGTATAATTGATACAAACTAGATTACGAAAACGAGGTTAACACATCATTAAACTTCAATTGAAAGTGGGACTGTTTTTATGTTCAATTAGATTATTTACTACGTAAAACTATCCTTAAATATATCCTATCCCTTTCCTATCCTTAATATCCTTATTTGTTTCTTAGGTTTTCACGCACATCACTCATTAAGTAAAACTAGTTTTTTACGGGTTAATGCACGAAACTTTATTTAACAAAATTTGATTCTGACGACGTATTTAAATAAAATATAAATAAAATTTTATTCTGACGACGTAGCCTGTAAAGGCTACGAAACGTCAATAAATAAATAAAGTTTCGTGCACTAACCCGTAAAAAACTAGTTTTACTTAATGAGTGATCAAATTTTATTTAAATAAAATATAAATAAAATTTGATTCTGACGACGTAGCCTGTAAAGGCTACGAAACGTCAATAAATAAATAAAGTTTCGTGCAGTAACCCGTTAAAAACTAGTTTTACTTAATATCCTTTTTCCTTAATAGGCTGATGGTAGTAACTCTCATAAAGTAATGAGCCTTAGCAAGCGGATCGAAGTGTATACAGTTGCACGGACTTCTGGCAGTACACTGTACCCAAAATCCGTCAATGCGCTGCGGTCACTAATGTGCTAAGTAACTTAAATTAGAATAAAAATGGAATACGGTACGCTCATACTAGCATAAAATAAACACGTCCGTAAATAAACATTCAATCGAGCAAGCGAGACAGAACTGTACGCTCCAACGCAGCGCGATCTTTAATTTCCCCATTGCCGGAGACAGGCTAGAAGTAAGGTGTAAATAGGTATGACAGTTCTAAACAATAGTTTGCGAGATGAAACTACGTTAACTGTTGTAGGTATATAATGTTATAATGAGATGAGATGATGAGGAGCTCGATGGCGCAGGTGGCTAGCGCGTTCGGCTGCGATCGTTGAAGTTAAGCAACTTTCGCAGTGGTCGGTCATTGGATGGGTGACCAAAAATTTACTATCTCGAGCTCCTCCGTGCTTCGGAAGGCACGTTAAGCCGTTGGTCCCGGCTGCATTTGCAGTCGTTAGCACCCACCAATCCGCACTGGGCCCGCGTGGTGGGTCATGGCCCAATCTCCCTATTCCATCCATAGGGAAGGCCTGTGCCCCAGCAATGGGGACATTAATAGGCTGATAATGATGAAAATGAATGAATGAATGTTATAATAAGAGTATCAGTTCCACAACCTGTTTTCTGCGGGAATAGTAAGACAATGTCTGTCCTTTCCACTCTACTCTGGAGTAGAGAGGAAAGGCATAGCGGATTTTCCGAAAGCGCCCGTCTGGGGAAGTAAAGTCCACCGTACAGAAGACACAGTAAAATACTTTGGTACTTGCCTTGGCTTACTTTGGGGCTAGGCTAATTGGTGTGATTGTGAGAAATGAAATATTTTATTACTATTGTTTTAATGGGGTTATCACCAGCTCGTCCCAAACGGAGTGGAAGGCCAGATCGGACATGACTCCTAGGGGCACACTGAAAACGAACTCAATCTTGACTGCGTCTCCGGCCCGTCGCGGCCACGGCCCGGTCGCGGTAGCTTCACGGAGCCCAGACTCCGCCGCTCGGCGTATAGTTCATCATTGTTTATAACCTTGCACTTGTTAAAGTACTAATGGGAGACACTTGGCCATCTACTTATAATCTAAGGTACCTTAAGTTACGAGGTGGACCGACGACCTGGTGAAGGTCGCGGAAAGTTGATGGATACGAGTAGCGCAAGACCGATCAGCGTGGAGATCCCTAGGGGAGGCCTATGCTCAGCAGAGGGCGTCGTACGGCTGATATGATGATGAGAAAGGATTTTTGAAGTCTTGAACTTCTTTGCGCGCGATGAGGGTAACTTTTCAAGGCCGCATCACGATTTGAACGTCAGATTTTAAATTTTAATGGACGGATACAAACAAGAGAGAGAGAGAATAAGCACGCTATAATGCGATTCAACTAAGAATAGGACCGACTGGGCGCCATATTTTGACGTCATAGCTGTCAATTCAAACCAAATAAGTAGAGTGAGCAAAAAAATTTTGCAATTTAATAAAACTTATTTAATAAGATTAAGTGAGACAAAACATCAGATTTTTTAATCAAATTAATTTACTAAGGTTGAGAAAGAACACAACCAATTTTTAATAGTATTTCTTTATGAAGACTGTGTGAAAAAAAAACATTAATCAGAATCTAGCTCTTCAATCTCGCTCATCTCTGCATTACCGCCAGAGAAGTTATGAATAATCATGCAGGTCATATACGAACATGCATCCTTTATGTAAACGAAAGTTTTAAATCGAGTTTTTGAACTCACCATAAAGTGACATTTGGTTGACGATTTAGGTTATCAACCATTCATAGCCAAAGCTCAATAAATGAAGAAAAAAAACAACTAATATTAATTTTCATCATTTGTTATTGTTTGTTTAAAAATGTTTGGTTTTTATTCTAGAATCAGCTGAGTGCTAAAAAAGTGTTCCGAGATTTTTTTGCAAATCGTACTTTTCAAGCGACATTTGACAAATGGAGGTCATTGGCTTTCCTATTCTTATTTGAATCGCATTATATATACTTTTTAATATATGATGTAGTTCTCACCAGCCTAGGTCCCAGGCGGAGTGGAAGGCGGGATGGGCGGACATGGCTCCCAGGGGCACGCCGAATCCAAACTCGATCTTGACCGCGTCCCCGGCCCGTCGCGGCCACGGCCCGCGCGCGGTGCTTTCGCGGGCTTCCGTGCCGCCACTCGCCGTGTCATTCGTCATTGTTTCTAACCTTTTACTTGTCAAAATACTACAGCGAGACACTTAGCCATCTATTTTATAATCAGCTTTTGCACTTGTCAAAGTACTTTAAATAGACTCCTAACCTTAAAATTTTAGATACTATTTAAGGATACGTATTTACAATATACTAATCATTGAATGCGAAGCTTGCCGAAGCATTATGTTCCAAGATATAGTTTCCTATAGTAATTTAAGACAATACAAAGCTACAAATGGCGTCGATGTGAAAATACTGTTCTATGATACTGTTTTTATGTTTCATGTTGTCACACCTTAGACTTATTGTCATTGCACCCTAGCCAGTCATACATTATGTCTGTACCTACTTCGCTGAATACCACATTACCTTAATTAAATTTGCTATTTGCTGATTTCACTTTCAGTTAAAAAAAGTAAATCATTTGTTTCAAATACATATGTCAGACACGATTTTTGCACGAAGGACAGACAAACCTTTTATGTACAAATAAAAGCATAAAGAAACATGTAATTACATTCATTGAATATTAAGTAAAGTGCCTTTCTAAATTAGAAGAAAATGCGTCGAATTAAGAGAGAAATAACTTTTAATACAATTTATCTTTAGTTTGTATGTATACGGATGAAGTCACGAGCAGGGCCGTGCCTGACGGGCGTTCATTGCGTGCACCGCACGCAGGCGGCCGAAATTAAAAGGCGGCCAAATCGTTACAAGTTGTTTACTGGGCAAAATGTTCTATGTAATATTGGATACAGCCATTTCATCTGTTACTACCCGATTTGAAACATTATCCAATTTCGAACAGTCTTTCGGATTTTTATATAAATTTGTTGAAATAGGAGAGGACGACATAAAAAAAAGTTGCTTCGACTTTCATAATAAATTCAAGGATGGCGAATCGTGCGACATAAACGGAGCAGAATTATACGAAGAGTTAATTTCATTGAAAATAATTATAAAAGATAGGAAACAACCCGAAGAACTCCTAAAGTATTTGTACAAACACAATTTACAAAATTCATTTCCAAATGTATCTACAAGCTTAAAACTATTATTGACCATGCCTGTATCAGTTGCGCCTGGAGAACGTAGTTTTTCTAAATTGAAAATCATAAAAAATTACCTACGTACTTCCATGACGCAAGAACGTATGAGCAATCTTTCAATTATCGCGATTGAAAGTGAAATTGCTGAATCTTTAAATATTCACGAAGCAATTGACGATTTTGTCAGTAAAAAATCCCGTAGGATTAACTTTTAATATGTACTTTATTTAATAATTGCTTCGTGAAGATTCAGCAATTTCACTTTCAATCGCGATAATTGAAAGATTGAAAGATTTCCCTAATTAACCGGTAACCTAACCGAAATAATTTTATGAAACCGGTTAATTAACCAAAAACCTTTACTATTTTCAATATCAATAAATAATACGTAAGATTTGATTTTTTAAAATCAAATAATTTTAAATTGTCACTGAGCGACACCTAGGATTTTAAATTATCGTATTCCTATGTTCTTTATGTTTGATAATTTTGTCTGTGATTATAATACCAATACCATAATTACTTTTTTTCATGTTATTATTAAAGTAAGTAAATTAATTCTATTTTATATACCTCCCAAGTTGCAAGTCAGCCCAGATCTGCCATTGGCCACTGAGCTTTGTTATCCTAATATGTTAGTATAGATTTAAGGGTTATTCCTTGTTCTTTATGTTTGATAATTTTGTCTGTGATTATAAAACCAATACCATAATTTTTTTCATGTTATTATTTTTGTTTAAATTTTAAATAAAAAAATGTTTATTTTGTGCATTTTTTTTTTCTTAAATTTCATCCAAACATATAAATCTCATAAAACCGGTTTTTAGCCGGTTTTTCTTTTCAGAAACCGGTTTTGGGAACAAAACCAATATTTTTTTTCGTTCTCGATTTCGGTTAACCAAAAACTGATTTTTTTCCCGGTTTGATGCCCTGTGTATAATAATAAACATTAAAAATTAAAGTAGTTTTTTTTAATGTTATCCTGGGGGCGGCCATACAGACTGGCACGCAGGCGGCCATATACCCAGGCACGGCCCTGGTCACGAGCGGCTGCTAGTATACAATATTTTATTGTTTACATAACATTCGATGTGATTTATCTATCACTCTATCAAAAACAAATGAAGAGAACTTCTTTTAATTTAAATATTCTCATAGGAAGCTTTCATTCGGACCAAATTTTTACGTTGACTACGCCGTAGTCTGTAGAAAAGCTACGATCGTAGCCGTGCTTGAAACATAAATTTTATCGCACGCATAATATAATAAACGCATAATATGATTGTTTTTTTGTTTGTATATATTAATCACTATATAATAAATAAAGCAAATATATAATAGGTACCGAGAAATACACGAATATTGTCTATATAATTCTACTGATATTATAAATATGAAAGTTTGTATTTATGTTACTTAATCCTGCAAAAGGTACTGGACGGAGTTGTATGAAATTTGGTACGCATATAGTTTATAACCTGGATTGAGACATATGATACTTTTTGAGACATACGATTCAAACAAGACCAAAGTTAACATGGATGAAGTCAGTAGCCTTTATTTCCTAGTTGTTTATTTAAAACATTACGCCATTATCTTTCCGAAAGATTCTAAACCAAATATTTGATTACAGCACTAGGTGTTTCAAGCTCTAATCCACTCTTAATAAGGTCGGTTTATTAAGAAAACAGTAAACATTAGGCCATTATCTTTCCAAAATATTCAAATCGAATTATTTGATTACAGCACTAGGTATTTCAAGCTCTAATCCACTCTTAATAAGGTCGACTTATTAAGAAAACAGTTTCATAACGCACACTGCTAACACATATATTTATTCACTCAGCACGACCGTTCCGGCTGAATGTCCAGCGAGACTGAATCGAATTATTCCGAGTCGGACGATGACCGACGCGACGTCGCTCATTACCCTTTCATTACTGCCCTAAAACCTAAAACCTTTTTTCTGAAACCACGATGACGCATCACAATTCAACCAGCCTATATTCTCACGCATTAAGGTACGTTTTTGAAGGAAAAAAAGGTAATGTTTTTAGTAACTGTGGTGGCATTTAAGCGAAGATAGCGGTTTTCAGGTCGAGTTTTTCTTTGATAGTGAAAGTTTTCTGTGTCGTTCGTGTGATTGAAAAGAATTATTACGTAGATTTGAGAAATATAAGGGTCATTACTATGCCTCTTCATTATGTTGCTGTTTAAATGTAGGAACGAAATATGATGATTTTTTTTGTTCCTATATACGTATTTAATTTTCCGTCATGGGTTGCCTGGAAGAGATTGCTATTAAGCAATAAGGCCGCCCATTGTGTAATGTCTCTCTGTCAGTGTAATCTTACTGTTATGTTCTTTGTGATGTTATACAATTAAGAATATTATTATTATTATGAATTAGCAGGACTAAAATGCAACAATAACATTCATTAGATTTTTTTTCAAAAAACACGAAATTCTTGTTTCTAAGGCTTGCTAATAAGTTTTACCTCTCAAGATTATTAAATTAAAAAAAATGTATTTGTATGTAAAATTGCAATAACACCATTTCTTCCTTTTAATAATAACATTTTTATTTTAATAAAGCTGTGGTTTTTGGTTCTACTACACCAATGGTCAAGAGATGGCGCTGTAGTCTCCTGAATCGCGCTTTGGTTCCGTTGTTCCAGATTAATAAATACTTTTGATAGGCCTTCACAATGCAGTCGTTAGCACGCACTAAATAGAGATTCTATTTCTATTTTGTTGGTAAATTTACTTAATGTGCGGTAAACACAAAAGTAACAGCATGAATTAGCGACCAACTTCATGCTGTTAAAATTTTGTGTTACAGTGATGCGCGCGCATCTTAAAATTTCACTCTCATCATTTTTTCATAACGCGCCTAAAGAAGTATAACTTCAATAAATATTATTTGGACAGGGAAGTTCATCAAAGATTCGACGACCTCCTTAGCCGAGTGGTTTATACGCCAGATTTCATGGTGTCGCCGACTCGAGAGGTCCCGGGTTCGAATCCCGGTGGGGGCAGATGTTTTGTGTGATGAATACGAGCATTTGTACTCCATGACTGGATGTTTAAAATGTATTTCTATATAAATATACTAATATATGTTCTGTATATGTATTCTATCCGTTACCCTAGTATCCCATAACACAAGCCTTACAGTGCTTACTTTGGGGCTAGGCTAATTGGTGTGAGTGTTGGAAGTATTTATTTATTTATCTAAAGATACACTTATAGTCATCAAATAATATAATAATCAATATAAATAGTTACAAACGAATATACATACTATCAATATTACGCACTAACATAGACAAAACTCATGTCTAAAATTAATGTAACATCAACAATTAGCAGAAGATGTTCTAACATTGGTGAATTTGCTCCAGCGTTTGATTTGCCCAGTATTTCCTTTTCGTAAGGTTTCAGATATGGGAAATACTTCAGAACCATGCTTAATAGAGGTTGCCTGTCTACTGTCTTGTTGCTCTGCATCTGGTCAGAATTGTCTTGATTTGTGTTGTAATTTGGGTCTGCTTCGGTATTTGACTTGTCTTCATTGTAGGTTGATGGGTCTCGCAATTCCCGGCGCACCTAAGGAAAGCCATGCAAAATCATATAGTTCAATACAAATGAATAGCAGTTCTTATTTCTTAAAATAATAAGCACCAAATACGAGTTGTGGAGGAGCTCGATGGCGCGGGTGGTTATCGCGTTCGGCTGCGATAGTTGAAGTTAAGCAACTTTCGCAGTGGTCGGTCTTTGGATGGGTGACCAAAAATCTTGAGTTCCTCCATGCTTCGGAAGGAACGTTAAGCCGTTGGTCCCGGCTGCATCTGCAATCATTAACACCCGCTAATCCGCACTGGTGGCCCGAGTGGTGGGTCATAACCCAATCTCCCTATTCCATCCATAGGGAAGGCCTGCCTGCAGTGGCGACATTAATAGGCTGATGATGACGAGTTGTGGAGGGTAAAATGCTTTGCCATGGATGGTTTCTAATTAAATGAACTATTGACAGTATTAAATAGTTTGTCACAAAGATTCAAGGCAATATGAGAGCAAAATATAAAAGCAAGATTATTATTTTGTAAAGTTCCTGATAGTAGTTTCCTGTATCCTATATATAAATAAACTTATACCGCCTTATTCCAAAACGCGTACTAAAGTAAGTCGTCATTTAAAGCTAATGCTATCTCCTTGTTAGCATACAAAAGTGACAGCATCAGTTTAAAACCAGGTTTAACTACAGTCATCGTTTTGTAATACGGCTGTTAGTGATTTGAGAAAGAGGAAATATCAATCTCGTTGAATTTTTCGTAGAAATCTGGATTACTCTTCTAACTATCTTAAGGAATATTTTACCAAAAATATCTAGAATTATTACTTTTCCAGACCCAAGCGCTGGTTCTCCCAAAGAATGTTCCATGCGCTCTAAAGCTTCTTGTATTTCTCGTACCGTCTCAGCTGAAAACAATAATACCCTTATTTCAGAATAGTTACTAAATAATATTTTTGAAACATTGGCGTTTAAATTTTTAAATTTTGGTAGACAACGTATGAGGGGCGATATGACATTAAAAAAATGTAGTCAAACACAGATTAGTATAAATAATACTCTCCGAACCACACCGTAATAATGAAGTCATAACTGTCGACAAAATTTAAGAAAACTTGCGTGGTAACATACTCCTGTCGATAAATTTATCGCCAATCTGTTTCCAAACTTAGATCTATCATAATGTTCATCCAATTGCTAGTTAATATTTTAATACTCACGATCAGTGAGGTATTCTACATCAGCTTTTGTTGCAAGCGAATCGTTTGTCTCTGCCAGTGCTATATTATTTAACAACGTTGACACGTCACCATCTAACCGAGGAGCGTTTTCTTCCGATAATTCTTTTTCTATACTAACATTCTGTGCCAATTCTACTTTCGTTGTATCTAATTTTGAGTCTGTATTCACTTCGTTTAAAAATTTCGATACATTATCTGCAACAACATGTTCTTTGCATAATTCGTAGGAAAATGCTACACATCAACAACCAGTGCTAAATTTAATACGCACCATTAGATTTATTTGTATTGTCCGTTGTATGCTGGTATGAAATATTGACTTCTGCAACAGCTGAATTTTCATAATATTCCAAATATACATCGCGATCAATCTTAGGAAAATCTCGTTCTGTTGTTTCATGATGATCTGTAACATATCATAATCATAAGAGTTACTAAGTTTTACATGATTTCTCTTATTTATATCTTTGGTTTAATATAACGGACTTACTAATTTCTTCTGATATATTCTGTTCTGCAATGACATCAATCAATTCTTCCATATTATAAGGCTTTGGTCGTCCAACAGTTTTAATATCTTTGTAGGATATATGTGGAGCAACATTTGGGCTCTCTTTAGTATACAAAGTTGTATTGATATTTTTCTTGTTTTCATCATCAATAAATTTAATAACCAAATCAACTTCTTTGTCATCAGAGTGTAAAGTTTGTATTATATTTCTTTTATATACAATATTCTCATGTGGAAGTGCTTGGGTAACATAATTGTCCATAGTGACTATAGCTAACTTTGTCAGATATAACTCGTCTAGGCTTCCTAAGTAATTCAGTGATTCTTTACTTTCTACTTCTAATACAGTACTTAATAGAACATGCTCTTCTATAGTAAGAACTCCGTCCACGTCAGTCGACACGTCTAAATCGGCTCCTGAAATCGTCAACGTTGTTATTTTTCCTCCTCGTTAATTTAACTCTCTTTATTCGGATTCAGAGAAAGAGGCTGATTCACACGTCTACGAAATTACTCGGCTAAATTAACCTCAATAAGAGGACAAATTGTTGATTATGCTGTTGCAGTTTTATTTCTTTGAAGTAAATGATTGTTTTTGTCGTTTAGTACATAATTATGTTATTTATTTTAATTGAGAACGTAAACTTAATTTGCTCAAGGATTATTGCGGTGCCAGAAAAACATATAATGCAACTTTCCCGTGCTGATAATGAACCGCCGACTACAGTACTTTTGAAAACAATATCTAACGACCTGTCACTTTTGTCTCCGAATCACAGTTTAATCTCATCAAGTATAAAACAGTTTCTAGTTCAGATGTGGTACTTGTGATGATCATCTAGTATTATTGTAGATATTGAAAGTAAATACTATGCTATGCTAAATAACTTCTAAAATTTAATACCATTTAGAGGAGCACGATGGCGCGGGTGGTCATCGCGTTCGGCTGCGATCGTAGAAGTCAAGCAACTTCCGCAATGGACGGTCTTTGGATGGGTGACCAAACATCTTTTATCTCGAGTTCCTCCGTACTTCGGCACGTTACGCCGTTGGTCCCGGCTGCATCTGCAGTCGTTAGCACCCACCAATCCGCACTGGGCCCGCGTGTTGGGTCATGGCCCAGTCTCCCTATTCCTTATTTCTATATTCCTTATTTTTATAATTTCAGCATCATCCTATTAATAAGGTATTAATAGGATGATGCTGAAATTATAAAAATAATAACAAACCATGGGCCCTCATAAATCTATCACTATTGATTCCAAATCACAATTCAAATTCAACCAATGCCAAATCTGGCGTAATTTAGATGTGCTGTGGATGCGACACTATTGTTTATACTTAGTTTATGTATTTTATAATTATCGAACAAACGGGCTCCTGACCCATATTATTAAACCCGATATTGAGGTTTAAATAGACAAACCGGCTCACAGGGAGCCGACATTATTATGACACTTATGATTGTTCAGACACTTAAAAAGTTATTTATTTATTTTTTAAAGCATGTAACTGCTTAATGTTTAAATCTAAAAAAAATATGACTAGAAAAAATTCCACCCGGACCAGGCAGCAGACGGGACTCGAACCCGCACACTTCGCTATCCGGGCGAATGCACTGACCAATTATGCTACCGCAGCTCTAACGGACCGCGTCGAAATTCTTCTAGCCATTCTTAAGCTGCAAGGCAGCGCCATCTCTTCGCATTATAGGTAACCCACAATGTCAAATGAATACTTTTACAAGTATTAAACATTTGAAAGAAGAAATAGCATTAAAGTTATTTATTGATTTTTTAAAGAATGTAACTGCTTGATGTTTAAATCTAAAGAAAATATGACTAGAAAAAATTCCACCCGACCAGGCAGCAGACGGGACTCGAACCCGCACCCTTCGCTATCCGGGCGAATGCACTGACCAATTATGCTACCGCAACCCTAACGGACCGCGTCGAAATTCTTCTAGCCATTCTTAAGCCACAAGGCAGCGCCTAGCAATGCAATTTTTTCTAGTTATATTTACTTAAAAAGTTTCTATTAGTTTACGTACATTTACGTGCGAAATGCGAACTTATGGTATTCTAAAGATAGTAGGGAAATAAGCTTAAACGGTAGGTCAGAATCAGCTTAGGTATTCTAAGGTGCACTCTCCTTCCGTTTCGAACGTGGAAGTTATTATGTTGCGTGTCTTACGAAAGTTGCACAGCGCCGGTAGAGCGGGGTCAGGGGCGGAGCGCGGCGGGCACGAGGCGGCCGGGGCTCCCGGGGCCCACAGTGCGCGCCCCGCCGAAGGGCCCCGCGGCGCAAAATTGCACACCAGGCGCTCCACGCTGCGCAACCGGCCGTTCACTTCGGCCTGACACGTGACACAAAAGCAAAAGACGTGAGCATATCTAATCATTGGACTTTTCTTTAATAATGTCTAACTACCCTACCCGATGTTGAGTGTGTTAGCCCCTTAGATTAAAACAAAAAGGGTAGATACGGCACTAGCCTCACAAAAGTGATCCGCATTAATTGTGGTCCACGACCCTAATCGCTTTAGTCACAACTTGACATGCAAGCAAACGACGTACATGTGAACGCCAAAAAGAAATATTGCTAATATTTTGTGTTTATATGATAAAACAATGCCTAAGTGTGTTTTTAAAAAGTGCTCAAATTGCTCAAGAACTAAAAATAATACCCACACCATCACTTTTCATTCGTAAGTACTATAAAATATATTTTTTCATAAAAAATGCTATTTGTTTTGAATCTTATTCGGTAGTGACGTCGAGTACTGGTCGCGTGATTGGTCGGTAGTGCAGTGACGCGGATCTCGCCGTCTCGTTCGCGCTGCCGTTCAAACTTAACGTGTTGTTTCAGTCGGGTCGGTAATGCAGTGACGCGGATCTAACCGTCCCTTTCGCGCTGCCGTGGGATCAGTTTTTGTTTGATGCAAGTATCAGCGTACCGTATCTACCCTTTTTGTTTTAATGTAAGGTTAACCCAAGTGCAGCCGTTTATTCACGAAGTTAGCTAATATGCCAGAAAAGTTAGCTGAGGCGGCTTTGCCTATGGTCCATAGGGACGTACTAGAGCCTGGAGCGGCAGGCTACGAGGGGTGGCTGCAAGAGAAAGGGCGGTAGTAGTCATATTGACGTATATTTCGATTTAATTATAAAATGGGGGGAGGGGGGGAATCGTAATCAGCCCAGGGTGCCACATTTTAAAATACGCCTCTGTCTATGGTGCACAGTGTGTGCGTTGCATACGGGCGTAGCGATTTTGGGGGACGAAACATTTCATTTTGTCTGTGCTCATTCTAGAGAGCCCTAGACTCTATAATTTTATTGCACACGGGCTCTCTAAGCCATAGAGACGCCTCCGCCACCTCCACGCCATCTTTACCATACCTACCAAACACATAACCCGAAACTTTAAATACATACTTACCAAAGAAACACAATAACACCAGTAGATATATTTATAAAGTAATTTCCCTAGAGGGGCGCGGTCTAATTCGAGTGGAGACACCGCTGTGCACTTTTTATTTACCTACGAAATTAAAATCAAATGAAACGCTTTGTAAAAAAAAGCAACAACTACATTTAATATGTGACCCTTGTTTAACTTTGTGTGGTGTTGTCCTAGAGAATTAATATTTCTAGTACTTGATAAATAGTTCACCAACCGGCTCTTACCATAAATCGACTTCTTCCACAGCCGACCATGTAGCTCCATGCCCAGATCATTTGCGCAAAGTCTCCGTAAAAGTTGACATTGCTCACCGGGCTAAAAAGCAGAGACTGTATAAACTATATAAACCGTAAACTGATTGGACATTATTATCTTAGTCATGCCCTTTAAAAAATGAAAAGGAAAAATGGTTTGGAAAATGGTAAGCCGTATACTCGTATTCCCCGTATAATATGAAAAAAACATGGAAGAATTACTTCTAATATATTGTGAAAAGTCACACGAATAGAGTCAGTCATAAGCACGAAATATGTCCATAACGAGTGGTAGGGAAAAAAATTTTTGGACGCTTCAAAAGAGTTGTACTATACATCCAATTTGAATAAAGATATATTGATTTCTGATTTCATAATACACACATCAAAAGTGTCTAGGGATCAACATATATTTTTGCAATAACTTTTCTCCTGATTGATATTAATTAAAATTTTCTTTAAGGATTCATCAAATAAAGTGTTTTCGTTTGTCACAGTAACGATAAACCAAGTCACCTTTGCATTAATAAAGAAATTTGCCATTTTCCTAATAAAGGGATTTTTGACATTTGAACCACTAACACAAAAGTTCGAAAAAAAGACTGAAATAACAGTTTTCTCTAAAATTTTATTGGGTAACTTAAACAATTAATAATCCGTATTTCTACCGCGAACACTAACAACACAAGAACATCGGTTTGGCATACTCAAAATGAGTTCATCCAAATCACGCTGTGGAATGGCCGCCCATGTTCGTTGCAACAACAAAAAAAGGTCTTCTTGCGACTGGATACCCTCCATATTCGGCAGAGCTCTTCTCTGTAGCATATCCCATGCATGCTCAATCGGGTTCAAGTCTGGCGACTGAGCAGGCCAGGGCAGGACATTGATGTTAGCTGCGGCGAGAGTCTGTCTTACAACTCTTGCGGTGTGCGGTCGTGCATTATCATGCATTAACTGAAATAAGGGACCGATTTGCACTTGTAGAGGAACTATGACGTCTGATACAATCGTCTCAGCATAAATTTGAGCGTTGAGGTTGCCTCTGATCCAAATCAACTCAGTTCTTCCGCCGATCCAAATACCCGCCCATACCATGATGGTTCCACCACTATAAGGATGGACTTCCTGGCAGGATTTTAATCGCTGTTGGCGTCCAGGGGTTCTCCAGTGTCGTATACGTCTTGTATCCGGTCTCATACCAAAACGAGACTCATCAGAAAAGCACACGAAACGCCATTGTTCTTCTGCCCAATTTCTGTGTTCAAGAGCCCATTGATATCGAATCCTACGATTGTGCATTGCTATAGGTGGTACCCGTAGCGGTCTTCGGGAATGAAGGTTCACTTCATGCAAGCGGTTTCTGACTGTTTGGTCGCTAATTAAGTTCCCTGAAGAGTGATGAAGCCTCACGGCTAACATCATGGCGGTTATTGTTGGAGCTCTTCGAGTTAAGATTTGAATGTATCGGTCTTGTCTCCGTGTGGTGCAGCGATACCGTCCTCCATGGCGCTCAGCCACGGTACCAGTGCTTCGGTATCGTGTCCAAAGTCGACTGATAACACTCTGACTTGTATTCAGAGCTAAAGCCACAGTACGTTGCCGGGAACCAGCTTCTATCATTCCCACGGCTCTGAGCATTTCTTCCCTGCTTAAATGACGTCGCCGCTCCATAATAACGTTGGTTTTAATCAGTAGTAGGGAAACAGTAGCACTAATAATGTCTTCAATGCGTTGTATGTTTTTATAGGGAAAATATTGACAGCTGATTTTCATCTTTTACTCCAATTTGATTCACAGTTCCTGATTCAAATTATGAAATGCACCAAAAAGGATCCATATAAATTTATAAAATCATAAATTTATTACAAAGCCACATCTCAATCTCAAGAAATCCGCATAAAAATGCTTGATCCCTAGACACTTTTGATGTGTGTATTTATAAAGACAAAATTTATTAAAGAGTAAAGTAAGTATTTTTTATATTATCAATTTCAATAGAATTGATAATATAAAAAATAATTAGGGTACATTAAACTACTTACACATGAAAATACCCCAAAAGGTAATTTTTTGGAGTGAAACTTCTTTACGCACACTTGACTTGGGGGGTTAGCTGGCGAATGCATTACGCGTTACGAAAAGTGTGTTCGGGCGAGGCGAACGGGAGTTGAGTGGGGAATATACGCAACAGAAAGCAGTGCGCCCGCACATTTTCTTTCTCTCTTTCTCTTATAGCTAGTAAATGAAAACTGTTTATGTACATACATGTAGATTTTTGTACACACACACATAAATGTATAATGTGAGTAATATGTATATATATATATATATATACATACAGATGGAGCTAAAGAAGTTTCACTTCAGTCGTGTGGTCATAAGCACACTCGTTTTTTATTTCAATTAGTTTGTGAATCTCAATGCGTTTGACAAATGAAAAAGTCAATATTACTAAATAATTGGTGTAAGTGGGCCAAAAAATTTTTTCAAATATTCGTAACGTGTAGGTTTAGGTACTTCTTGAAATTTCCGTGGTCTACTTCAAGTTTAGTGAGTATTTAAATTCAACCAAATACATTGTCTTAGTCCAGCTCTATATTTTTTGTCTAGGTATATAAAATCACTCACACAACGTACGCTGTGATGTTTTCTTTGAAGTGCAAACTCTGCATGTACCACATGTCAACCAAGCTTTCGACTCGCAGCCCTGGCGCTTCGCCGACTACCGATGCCACACATTGACCCACGCTCACAGAAACTGAGGGAGGAAAAGTTCATGGATGTCTCTGTGCTAGGCTAAACTGCACTTCCAGGGCCCAAGCGGTAATACTTCACACAAGGTTAGGTTAGGTTAGTGTTGTGACCATAACGCGCGAGCCGAGCGAGCAAAGAGAGCGTGCTGCGGCAGCGGATGGCGAAGCGCCAGAAAAAAAAGCTAAAAAAAGAGACCTTTCTACAAAAAAAAATCAAGTATCACCTCTTGGGCCCTGGAAGTACAGTTTTACCCTGTGCTATTACAAAGAGAGGAAGAACAGGTAGCACCAGCACCTGTCTCCCTGTCTGGGAAGTAACCAGGGCCGGATTTGAGGCAGGGCAGGCGAGGCTGTCGCCCAAACACACAGAGATAAAAAAACAAATTTCTACGGGTCATCAAACTAGGGCAGTGCATATCGTAACTGGTCCTCCCCAGATTTAAGGGCTCCTTCATTGCCCCAGAACCTCCATTTTTCAGAAGATCACAGTGACATAATATCTACTTTTTGGTGGAGTAGACCTTTTGGTAAGTAAGGTTACCAGGTTTATCCCTTCTCCAGTGCTCTTCATGGGAAGAGTGTCAGGGCACTCTGAAGGCAAAGCATCAGCTAACTCGTAATAAACGTTGTTTAAAAACATAATATCAAGTAACAAAGTTGTAAGTAATTAAGTAGGTATGCACAGAGCCAGATTAAAGGCAGGGCAGGTGGAGCTGTAGCCTGTGACACAGAGGCTACAACAAAGATAATAACAAAATATCGACGGGTCACCAACCAGGGAGTGCGAAACGTTAATGGCCACCGGGTGCCAGTTTAGTGGGTCTTCCTTCGTAGACCCAGGGCTTCCGCATCTCTAAATCCGGCCCTGACTATGCATGAAATAGATAAACTTCATACTTAATCGTTTTCATAGCTACAGCACCTTTTGCTCATAGTGACAAATTGTTAGCCCATCGCAATACCAATTTCCTAATTCACCCTGTATGATAACTGTGCGGACCAATTACTGCACATGTTTCCGTGTCAGCGAAATAGTTTACTTTATTTAATAATTTATTTTATTGTCAGTGTGTGTGTTCACGTGTTTCAAGTAATTGTAAGCTCGTATATCAAGAAAATAAACATTCTATAAACCTCAAGGAGTTTTTATTATCAACTTCTTTTATTATCAGTAATCAGTAATATATTAAGATCTATCAAATAGGTCGGTCGGCAGCATCACGGCACCGTCCGACAATAACATTTAACTATTAGTGATTTTGTTCGTTTAAATTCGATTTGGAAATTGTCAGGTTGGGTGCAGACAGACTTTGAATGTGGTTACTAATATATTAATTTTGATAATTGACTTACAAAGATCCCTGCATGTGTCTCGTTCTTCGGGCGTTTTCGGAGGGCGGCATTGATCGGCCCAACGTTGGGCTTCACGCGTTAGTTCCTCCACCCAACGCTAAAAACAGTTCTCGAACTAAGGTTTTTTTATGAAAACAAGTATTATGGTCCGCCTGATAGTAAACGGCCACCATAGCTAGATGTTTGCAATATCAGAAGACTATCACTCCCGGTCCCGCGATGTCTACTTTTTCCGTCTTAGGCTTATAACTCACGGACCCGCACCCGCCGCGGGAAACCGCAGAGCTGTTTGATTTCAAAACTTACGAGACCGCAGGTTTCTGCGGCGGTATCGCAGCCGCCGCAGCTATGAGATCGGGTGGAGCCAGCCGCGTCTGCGGGTAATCGCGACCCCGCAGCGCGTGCCGCAAACAACCGCGCGCTCTACGGGCGTAAATCGTGCCGTGGACTTTGCTTTTGCGATTTATTGACAATCTGGCTGAGTGGTTTGTACGTCGAGTGTCAAGGTATTGCTAACTTGAGAGGTGCCGTTTAATATGTATTTCCATATAAATATACTTTTAAATGTATCAGTATTTGTATTCTATCCGTTACCCTAGTACCTCATAACACAAGCCTACAGTGCTTACTTTGGGGCTAGGCTAATTGGTGTGAGTGTTGGAATGCGTATTTATTTATTTAATTTCTCATTCTAATTTCTGCGATTAGCGGTTCCACAGCCGCGGCGGGCGCGGGAGAAAATCGCATCGTGAGTTCTTAGTTTTATCTGATTTTGAGACCGAGTACAATCCAGATGCAAGGATTGCCCTGCCTCATCAAATATAATAAACGTGTGTAGCACAAGTTTATAATTTTTCTATAGTCATCCTAACCTTCCTCTAGCCAGTGAATCTCTAACAATCTAAGGTTGCTTTCCAATTACAGCATTATTGCGCATTATGCGGCATAATGCTTAACGTTGAGTGTTCCAACTACAGCAACGCTTCGCACAATTGAGCACTCTCAAAAGTGATGCTTTCGTGTGATGCGTGCAATGGTACCAACTTAGAGAAAGAAAATTAACAAGTGTTTTTTCTTTAAGTTGGCATTGATCGAAATGTTTTATTTATTTGTTATCGTTAGTAATATTATTTATTGTTGAAAAATTATTAAAGCTTTCGTTTCATTAAATAGTTTTTTTTAAATAATCAAAGTTCATTCATACTGTTAAAAAATAAATATAAGTATGGAGGAAGGTACAAACATTGACTTTTTTTTTCAACACTGAACTTAGCGCACTCTGCTGGTGCATTTGAAAACTAATTCACGTTCCAATTAAGCATCAGCATAATTGGGCATTGTGCGGCACTGAATCGCATTATGCTCTGTAATTGGAAAGCATACTAAGTCTGCAACACAACACTCCAGAATAGAGTTCCAGGTTCAATGTAAAGTTTTACTTAATGAACTGTCATATAAGTGGTAAAGCAGGCTCTGCAGGCTCTTACAATCTTAAAGGTTTCCAACATGATATTGTACATATCTCATTCGTTAATCATTCACGATTCACCCCATGCTTCGGGTGGAGTAGGCAGAGAGAACAAAGCGCCATAAGACGTAATACAAACGATAACCAATATTTATTACCAAAAAAACTTATATAAATTGATGAAATCGAACCTAAATTACTGACTACAATACCAACTTACTAGCTTTTACATAAGCAAAGCTATTCTACTCTCGCCCAAAAATAAGGCTTTCCGACTTCAGCATGCTTAGATAAATTTAAATCTAATATATAAAATTCTCGTGTCGCGGTGTTTGTGGTTAAACTCCTCCGAAACGGCTTTCCCGATTTTCGTGAAATTTTATGTGCATATTGGGTAGGTCTGAGAATCGGACAACATCTATTTTTATCCCCCTAAATGTTAAGGATTACCCTTAACATTTAGGGGGATAAAAATACCCCACCCCTAAAATTGTTTTTTTTTTCAATTTTAGTTTTTTATTTTTTTATGATACACCATACAAAAATACATACAACCCTAAGTTTCACCTTTCTACCACCAACTCCTATTTTTTTATGGCGGTACGCGGTCGCTGGGTCAGCTAGTATACATATAATGGTATACTAAGCAAATACACACTTTAAAGAAAAATCATCAGTAGGTATGACTCGCTCCATTTCAAGTCATAATCCACATAAGTCATAGGGGCCCAATTATCCTAATATGCCCAGGGCCTCCAATAGTTCCCGGCTCTGTCTACATGGCAGTTATTCTACTGAAACATATAGCTCAAGTTGTCCGTACCAGCTTGAGCATATTCCCAGCGGTGGGCAGATGCTGCAGCCGGCCACTGGCCGCCTCGCTGCGGCGGCGGTTCAGGCGCGCCATCAACCTCACCTTCTCTTCCGAACTCAGCTGAGCGTCAATGTAACCGACGCATTTAGGACTTGGTCCAGGCTAGAAAAATTGCAGCGATGACTCACTCAGCTAAGAAAGCATATGCTAAAAATTAAATCTTAAGTGTCACCGCACACGGGCCACACGCCACAGCCACAAACGCCGCCACGAGAAGCTAGAAGCGGCTACTAAAGTGGCTGAAGCGCGCGACAGCGGCCGACTAAGGGTAGGGAGAGAGGGGTGGGAAATCGCACGAGTGACGTGTAGCGGCGTTTTGTATCGGCGCATTAAGTGTCCGTTGCGGGCCACAAGAAGCGAGCAACGACGATTTGTAGCGTGTGGCGGCCACCGGCGTATCGTGTGTCGACTCCATATAAAATGTATGAAAATTACAAGGAATATGCCGGTGGCGGCGTTTTGTGGTTGTGGTCGGTGGCCGGTGTGCGGCGACACTAAGATGGAGGAACCGCTAAAATAAAACGAATTTTCTTTTGAACAAAATATAAAGGTGAGGAGTACCGTGTGACACGGAGTTAAACACCGGTTTTCGTGGTGGTCTATGTGGTCTTTAAGTCCAAGGGTGGTGGATTCGATCCCCAATGGAGTCAATGTAGAAAATATACCCATTTTTTCTATAATATCTCGGATCACCCGGCCCATTCGCAAAGTTTTTTGACATTTGCAGTGTGTAACCACGAGAAAATGAAAACAATTGCATATCCATCGATACTTTTCAGAACAACTATCTTAACGGCGTTATAATAAAGGAGTAATGGATCACTAAATATCTCAGTGAATATCACTTCCATCTGTCAAATGCAGTAAGCGAATAGCGAACCTACCTCCTGACTCATTCTTTGTTCTGTGCTTATTTCTAATGTCCAAAACACAAGTGTTTTTCTAGTTATATTAGGTTCAATTAGAACAATGTAGATAACCTACAACAGTTGGTTGAGGCAAAGATATTGTCCTGAAACAAGAGAGCGAAAAGACCGCTATGCCCTAACATCTTATTGTGAATGACATTAAGAAATCTAATCACGAACTCACAGGATACTGGCAGAATGTGTGCGCATCAGTATGAGAGCACATCTTCGCGCCGCAATAGTTAACGGATTGACCCGCCGCCGCTGCGACTGCCGCGAAGTTGGCAACAAGCAGCGTGACGCATAGCATATCGGATCAATTCAACCCTTAATTTTGAACATTTTTCTACAGCATGTTGCTGTGATTTTGGTTTGATTCATAGAGTACCAATTTTCGTTTGATTGCGTCAAATGATGACATAGAGCAACACAGCCGCGTCGGCAGCGTTGCTCTATGAATGATGACGATAGAACCATGGAGAAGAAAGAGTGGAGAGCAAAATTCATCGTGAAACATTGAGCAACACAGCCGACGCGGCTAGGAGGGGAGTAGCCATAGTGACATAATACTACTGGAATCATTCTGCCGCTTTTAGCCTGTGCTTTTAGTAATACTACTGGAATCATTCTGCCGCTTTTAGTCTGTGCATTTAGTAATACTACTGGAATCATTCTGCCGCTTTTAGTCTGTGCTTTTAGTAATACTACTGGAATCATTCTGCCGCTTTTAGTCTGTGCATTTAGTAATACTACTGGAATCATTCTGCCGCTTTTAGTCTGTGCTTTTAGTAATACTACTGGAATCATTCTGCCGCTTTTAGTCTGTGCTTTTAGTAATACTACTGGAATCATTCTGCCGCTTTTAGTCTGTGCATTTAGTAATACTACTGGAATCATTCTGCCGCTTTTAGTCTGTGCTTTTAGTAATACTACTGGAATCATTCTGCCGCTTTTAGTCTGTGCATTTAGTAATACTACTGGAATCATTCTGCCGCTTTTAGCCTGTTCTTTTGGGAATACTACTGGAATCATTCTGCCGCTTTTAGCCTGTTCTTTTGGGAATACTACTGGAATCATTCTGCCGCTTTTAGTCTGTGCATTTAGTAATACTACTGGAATCATTCTGCCGCTTTTAGCCTGTTCTTTTGGGAATACTACTGGAATCATTCTGCCGCTTTTAGTCTGTGCTTTTAGTAATACGGCTGGCATCATTCTGTGGCTTTTAGCCTGTGCTTTTTTCTAATAAGGCACTCGCACATAAAAATGACATTTTTGCGCTAGATCGGGCATGGATGAAACTGAAGATTTGTTATTGACAGATCTGAAATTTGTAATGGCGAGTCGATTTTTTTGTCAAACAAGATGACCGATGAGATTGTTGAAAATAACGAATACCCATCGAATTAAACAATATTTATTTAAAAACATCGCATAATAAAACATCATCGTAATAATAATCCCCGCTATTAACAACCATTCCTTAAGACTAACCAGTTGAAAGAACAAAAAAAAACTAATAGGCCTTTCAAAAAGTCCTCAAATAAAGGGCAAAATTACTTTATTTCTGTGAAGATATTATCTCATTTTCAATAAACTACCAAACTTTTCTTAAATATTTGCAGGAATGTCACATATTTGAGACATTTTCTCGCCTCGTCGTCCATACATTTTTATCGAAGGTACAAAAATGTTTATCAATGAAGCAAAAGATTAATAAAACAAAATAGTGCTAGAGTCTGTGTGGAAAGAGAATGGGCGTGGCGAAAAACAGAACTAACACTAAGATTTTTGTTTGGCAATCAATCCCAGCAATCTGTAAAACGTCAAAATTTTGTATTGATACGGATTTGGTTGTTGTTGTGATTTCTTGCGGTTTTTTGTATTTATTGATGTCTAAAAGGGGTAAAACCTTACAAATACGGTAGAAAAGCACTACAGCGCCCTCCAATCTAAATCCCATTCTCTTTACGCACAGACTCTACCATAAAGACGCCACTCAGAGCAACAATTATATATTTTGTTCTCCGTCCAACTAGAACATTTTATACTATGTAGTTGATCTACATAAAAACACAAGAAAACACACCGTAAATAAACTGTGATAGATTTATCAGTGAAAATTTAAGACATACGTAATAAAATAAAACTGCGTCGTCGGAATAAAGCTTTTTAAAGTGAAAACTTCTTTAGCGGTATTGTACACTCTTTATTGTATTGGTAAAAAATGTTAAACTCGCGTCAGGTTAAACACGTGGGCTGATCGCATCATGACACACGATAAAATTGGAAAGGTTGTTGACTTTCAATATAATGGACGAAACATAGTAATATTTTATTTTATCGTATTATAATAATAAGTTTCTATCTAGGACGTCCACGTGGCAGCTTTATTGCGAAGAAAATGCATTTTTTTTTCAGTAGATGTCGCTAAGTGCGTTTTAACGTGATTCATGTAAGTTGATTTCTCTGAGAGATAAACTTTTTTAATGTTATATAAATTGTATGTTTGTGTACGATAGCGCAATAAATAAATATTGTATTCTACCACATACATGATAGTACTTTTATACTGATAATTAAAACATTCCAAAATATCAAAGATGCACAACGTTAATATTCAAGTTTTCACTTCTGCTGGCACTCCCGGAGTGCAACCCGTCGTTTTTTTTTCATTAACTTTGTCGAGCTACTTTCGAAAGACTTTTATTGAGCGTATTATTTCGAAGGTAGCTCGACAACGTTAATAAAAAATCATTATTCCGACGACTCATTCCTGCAAGGGATGCGAAACATCAATAAATAAATAAAATCAGTGCATCGTACCCGTTGAAACTTTTTTTATTTTATGGTTGATGTGCGTGAAAAAACCTAAGAAACAAATACTTAAAGAATTATAAATAATACAATTTCATTTATACAAATACATACTTAACGATTATTTAATAATTTAATTCTTCTAGTATACAAAAACAAAAATGACTATAAAATATGGCGTTACATACAATGAGACATTTATGTGTCTATTTCCTTACGCTTACAGATTTCACGATAGAATATATATAGTACGTCTCTTTCATTCCTTCAAGACTGAAAAGGACAGGAATGTAGTAACACATTCATAAATGCATTCTACTGTCGACTTTATTACAATAAACTTAATGCCTTTTTTAAGTAGCTTCTTAAGTTGCTACGATTTAAAAAAAATCTAATTTATCTTGACAAATATTCGGTGTCTATTGTCGTTCGGTGTCTAAGAAGTACATATTTACAAATAAAAATTTACAAATTGTGATTCAAAATTAATTATATTCGTTAACTACTTTGGTAGTACGACTTACGTTAAGTCTTTTAACCAAAATAAACTACAATCATTTATTGGAAATACATATTTCAAAATCAATGAGAAATGCAGTTTCAAAACGTTTTAAGCAATTTGTTTATAGAAAAAAAAGGCTGAGAATTGTGAAATTTCATTCAATTGTGATGGCACGTGTGATGATTTCAGTGAATGTAACGTTTTTTTCTTTATTTCTTAATCTTTACGCGTCAGACGATCACTTGCAGAAACGCCAATTACATTTTACAATCTACCTATGTGACTGCTTGAAAGTGAAGGGTTTTTGGCGCGATTTCGGGTGTATTCCGTAATATATACCAGTAAGTAGGCCAGTGCTAATGACGTCATGAATCGATGTTATACTAGTGAATTGTTCCGAAATATATTGGCCAGTGTACTGACGTCATAAATCGACGTAATAATAAAAATACTGCGACTAAAGAAGATTTTTTATTCACCTCATCAATTAAAAGGAATTCTCTTTGTTCGGATGCTATTATTGTTCTTTAAATAAACTAGAAATAAAATTCTAATGCATCTCACGCACGCTCGGTCATACGTCATATTCGTTTTCCCGGTAAAAATATGGCAGCAAACCAGTACAATATGGCGTCGGATTCGTGACGTCTTTAATACTGGCCAGTATACTGATGTTTATTTCGGAATACACCCTACATCGAGTCTGTTTGGCGTCTACTTTAATTATTCTTCATTTCGTTCATAGTGGATATTGTGAAATAAATTGGTGTGATTTTGTGTTACAACCCTCTGCGCAACTGAAGAATATAGGAATATTTAAAATATACGCAATTTCGGTCAAGTGGGCGTGAATAAATTATTGTAGTGTTAACTACCTAACGGAAGCGTATCGAAAAAGCTAAGTCGATACATTTCATGTCAAACACTCCAAGAAATATTAGAATGCGTTACGCCGACATTGCAATGTAAAAAAAGATAATTTCCTAATTAAACTTAAAGACTAGGCTGTATGGGCATTGTTCCCTTTGTCTTCCCTGAAAAGGGAAAATGTTAACAAATATAAATGTGAAGCGAACTTATTTGCACTTTATATATTTTGGAAGACGAGAAACTGTATTTTTTTTATTCTCATATATTCTCTAAAATCAAGTTAAGGTTCAAAAGATATTTCATAAATTCCTATACAAATTACAAATCGAGCCAGTTCGAATAGGACTATTTGAAACTATTTCGAGTAATATTGATATCGTTTTGGTTACTATTCGTCGTCGCCGGGTTTCGGGAGGTAGTACATCGAGTCTATGAAATACTTGGTGATGTCCGACACGAGGCTTCTGTCGGAAATCTCTTGACCCACGCCGTAGAACGCCATCTGGAAATAACGTAGACACATAAAATAATCATCAGTCTAATATCTAAATTACAATTGGTCGTTGGCCCGTATTCTGGTGCACGAAAGACTCGAATTCTCTAAACTCGAAAATTACTTGGATTCGGGAACCCGAAGCAATATTTGCACTGGAATACAGGCTGGAAGACGGTGTCGGGTAACCAAACCGAAAACTACCCGAATACGTACTCGACTTCGTTCATTTACACTTATCCGTTTACCCGATTTCCATTGGCACTCGTATTCGGGCTAACGACCAAGTGTAATTGCGCCACAAAACAAAGTAATCGTTTTGTATTGTGGCGCGATTACACTTAAAATTTTAAAGTTTGAAAATGAGCAATTAACTTTAAAATTAAAGTAGGAGAGCTACTGAACCCTCCGAGTAACGGTCTGTCTGTAAGACTACAAATTCTCATGGTTGGACTTTTTGGCGGGATCGGGAAGCGTCACTTTAGCAGTTTTGTTTTTCTTGTTAAAAATTGTGTTGTGGCGGATGCTAGTGTCTAATAATGGTGGATTATTAACCACTAAGTGTTCGGGAACATGCACATGTGTTGGCAAGTGAAACAAAATAGCGGAAAGTGTCTTTCGAAATTCCCTCAAGAAGTCCACGGGGAGGTTCCAGTAAATCCCAACACATTTACTGAAATATAGGGAAAGGGCGATTGACTTGACTGCCACTTACTTTGACTTGATTAATATTTTGACCACGAGTGCTATAGAATATGTAAACATTTTACACTTGACATTGGCTAAATGCACAAACCGTGCGAAGCCATATAGAAAAAATAAAATAAAAAAATCTCATGGTGATGAGTCATAGCATGCTTAGTACGGTAAGCATCGCCTGGCACTCCTCAGCCCTGCACGTCATCAAGCCGTATATTGTTGAATGTCGAAAAAATATTTAAAAAATCTTGTAGCTGTAAGCTTGAAATTTTTATACAATTAAGTTTATTCATTTTTAAGTTTAAAAAAAAATTGCCAAGCGTTTACGATGAGCACAAGTTATGTATAGGTGTGTAATGGATACATAAAAATAAACTTTATTCGGTAAAGTTGAAATTTATATATGTGTTTATTTAAACGATTTAGCCAGGCGATGCTTACTGTACTAAGCATGCAATGACTCATCACCATGAGAATTTCTAGCCTTACAGACAGACCGTTACTCGGAGAGATCAGTAGCTCTTGGTCTATTATAGGTCGCAAGCTTTTTAATTCCGAACAATTAATCAAATGTTGCAGACATAGATTAAAAAAGATACCGAATGTACTTCGCGTGCCAAAAAAAATGACAAAATGGTCACCAAAGGTGCTCCTTTAACACTATTTTTTTTGTTATTCCAACACCCAAACCCAGCGCGTTCGGCTGCGATCGTTGAAGTTAAGCAACTTTCGCAGTGGTCGGTCATTGGATGGGTGACCAAAAATTTACTATCTCGAGTTCCTCCGTGCTTCGGAAGGCACGTTAAGCCGTTGGTCCCGGCTGCATCTGCAGTCGTTAGCACCCACCAATCCGCACTGGGCCCGCGTGGTGGGTCATGGCCCAATCTCCCTATTCCATCCATAGGGAAGGCCTGTACCCCAGCAGTGGGGACATTAATAGGCTGATGATGATGATGATGACACCCACACCAATTAGCCTAGTCCCAAAGTAAGCAATGTAAGGCTTGTGTTATGGGATACTAGGGTAACGGATAGAATACATGTACTGTACATATATAAATATCTTATATATAAAATTCTCGTGTCACAATATTAGTTACCATACTCCTCCGAAACGGCTTGACCCATTCTTATGAAATTTTATATGCACATTCAGTAGGTCTGAGAATCGGCTACTAACTATTTTTCATACCCCTTAGTGATAAGGGTAGTCCACCCCTAACATTTTATTTTTATTATTTGAACAAAATTTTATTTTTTTATAATGTGGCATAAAAAAATACATGTCCAAAATTTCACCCTTCTACCACCAGCCCCTATTTTTATGGCGGTACGAAGTTCGCTGGGTCAGCTAGTGTTTATATAGAAATACATATTAAACATCCATGACTGGAGTACAAACGCTGGTATTCATCACACTAACATCTGCCCCCACCGGGATTCGAACCCGGGACCTCTCGAGTCGGCGACACCATGAAACCCAGCGTACAAACCACTCGGCCATGGAGGTCATTATTTTATTTCTTTGCGTCATTGTTCGCGGCACTGTACTTCAATCGCAGTTTTAAAAATTGTCTAAAAGCAATCTTAAGAAAAAAAAATTTTAAAAATCCACGCGGACTGATACACATAAAAATTACAAGTTCTACAGATATTAGCGCGTAATTCCGAAATTAATAGGCCGATTTTGATAATTATTTTTTCGTTGGGCTCGGTTTTACGTCACGATAATTAACCTGTTCAGTGCAAGGGTCTCTGGCGCTCCACATATTAATATGATGTTCGCACACAACTCCTAGATTTATAGACCGATTCTGTTTTTTTTTTTTTGTTCGAAAATAATAGTTGTTCGTACTGTAAGTGTCGCCGCACACGGGCCACACGCCACAGCCACAAACGCCGCCACGAGAAGCTAGAAGCGGCTACTAAAGTGGCTGAAGCGCGCGACAGCGGCCGACTAAGGTAAGGGAGAGAGGGGTGGGGAATCGCACGAGTGACGTGCGGCGGCGTTTTGTATCGGCGCATTAAGTGGCCGGTGCGGGCCACAAGAAGCGAGCAACGACGATTTGTAGCGTGTGGCGGCCATCGGCGTACCGTGTGTGGCGACTCCATATAAAATGTATGAAAACTACAAGAAAAATGTCGGTGGCGGCGTTTTGTGGTTGTGGTCGGTGGCCCGTGTGCGGCGACACTAAAGTCTACTTACCATAGATTTATAGACCGCTTTTGTTTTTTTTTGTTCGAAAATAATAGTTGTTCGCGGGTAACTCTAAAGTCTACTTACCATAGATTTATAGACCTCTTTTTTTTTCGGTATAAATAATTGTTCGCGCGTAACTCTGACATCTACGGACCGATATTGTTTTTAAGATTTAAACATCTAGCAGTTAAATGCTTAAAAAATAAAAACATAACTATGATTATTTTTTTGTTCGACTCGTTTTTCATTTCACAACAATGTTATGGATTAGGGCTCACCTTTCCGGTGCAGGGGGCTCCGGCGCTCCGCATACATTTGGCGGCGGCGACTCTCACGTCTTCTATGAGCCGATCTGCTACACCCGTCTGAGTATGCGCGTGAGTCACCGATATATGCAGTCTGTATAAAAACGACTATATAAATATAAATAAATATTTTCCAACACTCACACCAATGAGGGCTATCGCGTATGAATCCGCCGCTAGAGGCGCTAGTGTAGCGTGAGGTCTCCGAAATGTCAAATGTTATTGCTTGTTGGTTGACTACGCGGGTTTATTTCTAATTAAAATAATGTTGTCAATAATTGGTAACAATTCGGCTTAATTATGGCAAATATGAGTTATGTGGCAATGAATGTCAGTTATTAAAAATTTGAGCTTAGAAAAATGATTATGTTCTCATTTTTTCCGAATAAAACGGAACTGGGCGTGGCATGGCCTATTATGTTTAAGATATGGTTCTTTTGTGTTAAAATACGATCTAAATGTAACCTTTGATTTCATGTGCGTATTAATAAACATTAAAAGTTACAATTTAGGACCTCACTCAACAGTGGCGCCATCTGGTGAGACAGAAAACGGTAGCCCTCATTAGCCTAGCCCCAAGCTAAGCACTGTTGGCTTGTTCTATGGGATACTAGGGTAACGGATAGAATACATATATGGTACATATATAAGCATATTTATATAGAAATACATATAAAACATTGATGACTGGAGTAGAAATTCTTGTATTCATCACACACACATCTGCCCCGACCAGGATTCGAACCCGAGACCTCTCGAGTCGGCGACACCATGAAACCCGGCGTACAAACCACTCGGCCACGGAGGTCATATATAAATAAATTTCGGACTGTCTTCCTCCTCTGCGTTGTAAATATAAAACGAAAAACAATAGGCATTCTGTTAAAAAAAATATCAAAGAAAAGTCGACCCAAAAAAAAGTTATACTTTTTCCAAGTCATATCATCGTTGGATCGTAAAAAATGACAAAAAAATCTAACTCGTAAACTACGAAAAATCGTAGAACATACATGGGGGTTAAATTGATAGGTATGGTACTCTGCTATCAGCTCGCACTGGCTTGACACCCTAAAAGAAACACCATGTATACAGCACACTCGATTTTTTTCTATTTAATAGGGTATTTGACAGTATTAAAAATAAAGTGCCAATTGTTAGCATCTGTGTTTAGAATGAATATTGACAGGGGTTTTTACTTTTTATACAAAAGAAATATTCATAATTTTACTAAAAATAGTTTTCTTATCTATAGTCACGTGACCCAAAACGCTTTGGATTGACGGAGCCTAAAATGACGTCACACGCAAGTAAACTTCCGGTTAAAGTGACATTATATTGTATCGTATAGTCGTGTGACGTCACACAATAGTAAGATGCCATATTGTCCAGAAAAACGTTTTGAAAACTTGAAAATGGAGTTTTTGATTTGGTTATTTTTACTGTAATACACAACAGAATGATGAATATCCACTTTTTACGGACTCCATAAACATTAGTCAATAACGTGAGATCGTTTTCAAAAACTTGTCAAATACCCTATTATAAGACACATCGATAAATTTTACTAATACAGTGGAGCCCCGGTAATCCGGCCCCTGGCTAATGCGGCGCCCCCTATAATCCGACATCGTCTATTACATACAGGTATTCGCTAATACACGATTGAATAAGTTACAACTTGTACGCACCATCACTATTGTGCTCGACGCGTAGGGTATTGTTTTTTTATATTTTTTTGTAAATTCTATAGCATTAATGACGTTACTTTTATAATAAAACGTAACCTTTCTATTGTGTTGTTTAATTTACCAAATTTGACATACATAACAAAGTATGATTTGTAATCTTATCATTGGATCTGTAATTTGTCGGATTACAAGGTACTCTTTTGTAAAAAAAATCGGACTATAGGGGGTCTTAGGCAGTACTCTATAATCCGACAAATTCGATAGTTCGACACTGCCCTGCAAAATGTTTGTCGGACTACCGGGGATCCACTGTACTGCTTTATTATAGTTATAATTTTTATTATTTTTAAAGCATGTAACTGCTTGATGTTTAAATCTAAAGAAAATATAACTAGAAAAAATTCCACGCGGACCAGGCAGCAGACGGGACTCGAACCCGCACCCTTCGCAATCCGGGCGAATGCACTGACCAATTATGCTACCGCGGCCCTCACGGACCGCGTCGAAATTCTTTCTAGCTATTCTTAAGCTGCAAGGCAGCGCCATCTCTTCGCATTATAGGTTTATTATAGTTACCCAGAAGGGAACTGCAAGGCGCTCAAACTCCAGCCCTTCTCGCTCAGCGCTTGCCCCAGCTTGAAGATGTCGAACTGTTTCGAGCCGAACGCAACCACAGACGTGGCCGGCTTGCCGAACACGAATATGCCTTCGATCTTACGCAACCTTGCAAGAAATACACATTATAATTAAAAACTACAGAATCAAAAAATACAAAGACTACCTACTACTAGATACAAAATAGAAAGAAATAAATATTATAAATATGAATACCTATAACTGTTACTTTATTACAAAAAATAAAGATGTGGTTTTTGGTTCAGTAGAACCGACCATTGGTGTAGTAACACCAATGGTCAAGAGATGGCGCTGTAGTCTCCTGAATTCCAGATTCATAAATACTTTTGGTAGGCCTTTACAATGCAGTCGTTAGCACCCACAAAATAGAGATTCTATTTCTATTTTGTTGGTAGATTTTCTTAATGTGCGGTAAACACAAAAGTAACTTTTTGTGTTACAGTGATGCGCGCGCATCTTAAAATTTCACTCTCATCATTTTTTCACAACGCGCCTAAAGAAGTATAACTTCAATAATAAAAAAATGCGATCAGCACGCCGATTGGTTGAGTTTTCCGTTTAACATTATCTTACCCAATGAATGGATAGCCGAATTCATTTGCGGATATTTGATTTGTCAATATATTTGGTTTTGTCTGACTGCGTATCGCGTTGGTATTGAAGTTAAGCTGTATGAGTTTAAAACAGTGTTTTAGCAGCCTTTGTTAGAGAATAATGCTTCCATACAATTAATTCGTTGGACGAAACAGGTGTAAAGCACGCTAAAGTTAAGTATAATAAGTAGAAATTTATAACAAATTCAATTCGGTGTACGGTACCATTTTTTCGATTTTTCCGCTTCCCGTCGAGCAGTCGTTTTCTACAAATTTTCGTTCGCCATGGGACAATCACTAATTCTGATTCGCTTGATGGCATAAGTGCTGTCAACCTCTTGTCGCTAGGCGAATGCTCCCGCCGAATAGTAAAGCGAGTAAATTCCAACGTTAATAATAATAAAAGAGCCTTTCGAAGCACGGAGGAGCTTGTAATAGTAAATTTTTGGTCACCCATCCAATGACCGACCACTGTGAAAGTTGCTTAACTTCAACAATCGCAGCCGAACGCGCAAACAACTTGCGCCATCGAGTTCCCCTCCTCACTCACACAATTAAGGATAACTCAGAACGGACTAAGATTTGGAACTTGGCGCCATAATAACTTTTAGTCAGTTTAAAAATACCAATTTAACGATGTCACACACATAGCTATTGAAAGGTGAGACTTAGTGGGACCAGGATTGGCATTCTCCTTTGCTTAGAATCCAATAGGGTATTTGACAGTATTAAAAATAAAGTGCCAATAGTTAGCATCTGTGTTTAGAATCAATATTGGCAGGGGTTTTTACTATTATTACAAAAAAAATATTCATAATTTTACTAAAACCCACGAAAAGATAATAGTTTTCTTATCTATTGTCACGTGATCAAAAACGCTTAGGATTGGCGGAGCCTAAAATGACGTCACACGCAAGTAAGCTTCCGGTTAAAGTGACATTACATTGTATCGTTTGACGTTTTAATAACAGTCGTGTGACGTCACACACTAGTAAGACGCCATATTGTCCAGAGAAACGTTTTCGCGGCAACTTGAAAATGGAGTTTTTTTTTTACTGAAATACATAACAGAATGATGAATATCCACTTTTTCGGACTCCATAAACATTAATCAATAACGTGAGATTGTTTTCTAGGACTTGTCAAATACCCTATTAAGTTTTTATTGCAATACAATTAATCACATGAATGAATGAGGCATTATATTTAATGGGTTTTTGTGTGTTCAGAGTAGTGGGACTATTGGACTCACTCTTTCTCCATGTATCTGGCGGTAGTGATGATCTCATGGGTCATCTGCACGTATCTGTCCCTCCCCACGTACATCATGGTGGCCCAACATGCCGCTATTAAACCGCCCGCTCTGCTGCCTACGATTAATTGAACAAAACCCATCATCATACTACGTACATATACACCGTGTTCCTGAGAATATACATTAACTTTGAATAATACTTCTATAGCTCTTGTTAAACATATCGTACAAGGAGAGTAGTAGTTTAAATAGCATAGTTTTTAAATATTGATAATTTAAGTTTAACCAACTAAATTGTGTTGTGCAGTGAGAAAGAGTCTTTATCTGTGAGATGTTGCCACGTTGTGCAACCAAAACTATCAACTCTTTGTCAATGGTCATTAAGTCATAGTTTCAAAAGTCAAAATTTTAAAAAACATTGTTGACGTCAAGAAAAGTTTCAAAAAGTTTATGTTGACATGTGAACCAAAGTTTCAAATGCGACGTTGCCAGCTCAGGTAAAGAGTTATTCATATTATATAAATTACATCTAAGCATTTAGTTTGTACGAAAATAAAAAATGTTAAAGAAATTGGAATTGATAAAAGTGTCCATAGTAAAAAATGATCAATTTAATAGTCTGAATAACATGCCAAAGTTAGTGTATAACCTCAGGAACAAGGTGTATACTGTTGTAAACTTTCATCGTCGCTAACGTTATGTTATGTCCAACGATATGAAATAACGAAACACTAGATACACCAACACGAACAAAATCGTGCCCGAAACCTGTCCAAAAGGTACATTGAACGATCCACGGAGCTCCGTAAGATGATCGCGTAGTCAAAATCAATATAAAGCATTATTTAAATATTGAAAGTAACCTTTAATACATCCGGACTAATATTATAAATGCGAAAGTAACTCTGTCTGTCTGTCTGTCTGTTACTCTTTCACGCCAAAACTACTGAACGGATTTGAATGAAATTTGGTATACAGATGGTCTAGACCCTGAGAAAGGACATAGGCTACTTTTTATTGCGAAAAGGGGGTTGTAAGGGGTTAAAAGGGGGGGTGAAAAGTTATATGGGATTGGGAACTACGAAGTCAAACTCTCTACACCGAAGCGAAGCGAGGGCGGCCCGCTAGTACTATATAAGGTCTTAAATAAAACGCATGCGTCAAGGACTTCTGATAGTTCGAAATGCAAGCTCGTAAAATTTTACGACTTTATGCTATATGCGGAAGAATTTAGACCTTAGTTCTTTGACTCTACGCGTGATTCTGAACGCGCTGTTAGCAATATAGCAGGCGCGAGGAAAAGAGACGGCTATATGGCGACGTATAACCGACCATGCATTTGAATATCACAAATATTTTATATTAAATCAGTTTATAGTAAGTATTAGATCAAAATTTAATTCAAATGCGTTAAATTAACAAACATTGACTAGATACCTATCGAAAAAACGACACTTTTCGTAGTCTAAATATTATTTCCACATTTTTTCGCGGAGCTCTGTGGCATCTTGACTTTGTAACGGTCCGCGCGTGACTGTGAACCTTTCAGAAATATAAAATTACTTCATCATCAGCCTATTAATGTCCCCACTGCTGAGGCACAGACTTTCCCTATGGATGGAATAGGGAGATTGGGCCATGACCCACCACGCGGTCCCAGTGCGGATTGGCGGGTGCTAAGGACTGCAGATGCAGCCGGGACCAACGGCTTAGCGTCCTTCCCGAAGCACGGAGGAACTCGAGATAAAAGATTTTTGGTCACCCATCCAATGACCGACCACTGCGAAAGTTGCTTAACTTCAACTATCGCAGCCGAACGCGCTAACCACCTGCGCCATCGAGCTCCTCCTTTAATAAAATATACTTATCACAAAACAATAATACAATACAGGGATGACAAAACGCAATAACATTTTTGATAGAAATGGGTTTTGATTTTTTATTTTGGTATTTTGTGTGACAGACAGACATGACGACTGACCGTTGACTGTAGGCGAGCCGTAGACACCGCCGGGCCACTCGGTAGTGACTGTATATTGACAATGGCGGTACTTCTCGTGTCTATACAGTATCACTGAAGTCCCCTTCGGTGCGTATCCGTACTGTAAGCAAAATAAAGTTATTCACGTTAAGTTTTAACTCATGCTTTGTCATCACTTGCCTGTCTTACGCCGCAATGAGGATAAGTAACAATTTAAGTTGAGATGCAGATTTATAGAGCTAAGAATTCCATAAAATACAGTAGTTAAATTTTTGTTCTACGACAAATATTGGTGAAGTTATGACCAAAATAATAACCGAATTTTCGGCTGGCCGCGTGGTGGTTGTGACGTCACAGAGCTCTAGCGCTCGGGCGCGAGCGTGCGTAGAGACGCTAATAAAGTTCTAGAGAGAGCTCTGTGATGTCACACGTTTCGGCCGCCGGTGAATATTGGCTACCAGTTACAAAATCGCAACGAATGAACCGTTTTCGATGATTTAAAAAGTATATTAATTAAAAAGGTTATTTGATCACTATACTGTTGATTTTGAGTTTATTTGCTGACTTAGTAATTATCCTCATTACATTTGGTAAAGCTTGCTCAAGCACAGTGAATATCATTAAAGGACATTATTCAGCGTCCATACATAGTTAGCCTAAAAACCAACAATCATAAAATATTATTTTCTAGGTTCGAAATCGTAAGTAAAAACAAAGATTATTGACGGACACTTCTTAGGCTTGTTGAAAATATATCGATGTATCGATATATCGATATTTTTTGTTCCATATATCGATATTTTGAGCCGATATATTTTGATTCGATATATCGATACATCGATACAAAATAACCAATATCGAAATTCGTATCAAAAACGATATTTTTTAATTATTAGCGGTATATCACGATCTAACTAAATTCGTATCTGGAAAAATCGTAACTGGATCTCAGATTAATGATATTCAACATATCTATGATCTGTGCTGTATTTAGTATTGTCTATGATTTGTAAATCTGTTTCGCTGGTGAATTGGTTGTGCTGAATTCCATTATATTCTGTGGAAATGTGTGATTAGTGTTGTTTACTAAAGATGGCACCTGAGAGGCCCTGCAATCATTTTCATCATTCGAAAATAGGGTCTATTTTTAGGGAGATAAATTTCGTTCAATTATTATTCCTCGTATCATCTTTCGTGAGATACTGTACTGTCATTTCATAATTCTTTCTTTAATTATAATTTGTATTGTTATTATTACTGTGCTAGGCTGACCTAAATATATTTTTGGGAAAATTGGGCCGATATATCGATATATCGATGTTTTTTTCGCGATATATCGAAGCCGATATTGATATATTTTTTAAATATCGATGTATCGATATATCGATATTTTTTTCAACTTTCGACATCCCTAACACTTCTGAGAACTTAAATTATTAGGAAAACTAAATGTTTTTTGAGGTTATGTTTAATATTAAATGAAACATAGGTCAACCTATGAATTTAGTATGAAGTGAATTAATATTACAACTTATTCATTTTATTCGGTGCGATTTTAAAGAATAACTAATAAGAAAACCTTGGATAAGTAGGAATCATGAATAAAATAAAAACTGTAGTTTTGCTTCTTAATTAATGACTATTTTTCACATAATTGTATCATATTGTATATGGTATTTATTTGTGTATCACATGTATATTGTGTAAATATGCAGAGTGAATGTGTATCAGGTGTTCTTGAATAATTTGGCAGTATGATCCTCTCAGGATGTTGTGGCACAGGTTCACTAGCACTTGGTAATAAGGTCTCTGCTCTTTGGTAACATCGATGGCATATTAGATAGCAGAAATAGTTAAATCAAAGGAAAAACAATCGCAAATAAACACACACAACAGGTAATCCGAAACGAGAATGCACTTTCCTGTATATTATACTACTCTTTGGAATGCACGAATGCCATAGATTACTACGAATGCAAACTGCCTGCTTGCACCACAACCACAGAGTATCGCGTTTTATGCCGGCCCTTCACTTGACAATAGTTTGTCCTTGTCATGCTTAATAAGGAATGAAAAGGACAGACTGATGTCATGTTTTAAAATAGCAAATATGAATAGCCAAGTAAATAGCCGGCATTTGCAGCGCTGTCATAGATTATACACATAAAATGGTATTTATTGACTCAGATTATTTTTTAACTTTTTAAGTTAGCTTACTTAACTGGAAGTGTCCGTCATAATCTAAATACTGATAATTATCCCAAAAAATATATTAAGCATTATCATAAATGCCAAATTGGTGTTGGTTCTTAGGCCAATTTTAACATTGTCCTTTAGAAGAACCATGGATTATCCACTTTTATTAGCTAGACTAGATCGTGTGCTCAATAGCAAGCAATTTTGTATGGAATTATAGTACCTATATACTGCTTATAATATTGAGATTGTGCTGAAACAGATTTTCCATAGTAAATAGCTTGCTATCGACCAAAAGACACTACAGAAAAATAATTAGTAAGGTGTCACAGTTAAGTATTTGGATGAATGGTCCGAGTAAAAAAGTTTGGATTATCGCTGGTCTATAGGCTATGGTGGCCAGGGCTTGTAACCGGTTTCGAAAATACCGATAAATAAAGGTTTTATACCGGTTTTTAATAAAGGTTTCGTTCGGAGCGCGTCCGAAATGAAAGCGGTACCTAAAACCTTAATAAACCGGTTTAATCCAGAGCGACACGTGCACGCGTCGGCATCGCTGGAAGTTTGTTTTGTTTTAACTAATCAAGTCACAGATTATTAATGCTCAGAGATTGATGCATTTATTGACACGTTTGCTAGCGTCTAGTGAGTCAGTATTCATTTTGTAGTTGTGTACTGACACACTACTTCACTCACTCGCTCTGTAGTTGGAAAGAAACCGACATAAAATCATTATAAATTTGCATTGAAACGGCAAAGGCGATGCCGTCAGTAATAGCGAAATGAAACCCTTTAAAAACCGCTAAATTGATTCAAAACCTATTTGATTTCGCTTTTTAGGAAAACCGGTTTTTTTAAGGTTAAGGTAGAGGCAAACCTAAATAAGACGCTCCTAATGTAGTTGATACTGATAGGTTTGAAAATGAACCGGTAAACAAGATCTGATGGTGGCCGCTTACCATCAGGCGGGCCATACGATGATTTGCCACTCTTTTAGCATAAAAAAACCCCTTTCTGTATTTCACTGAGTAGTAATAAAGATTTTCTAGGATATTATTGCAGTTAATTACACCGCCGTCTTTCCGAGTTCTTTCTTATCTGCCGTCCTCAAGCTAAAACGTGGCTAAATGACACAACCAACTTTTGAGATATGACCAAAAACGGCTCGTAAACTTAAAATTATTGCTATTTTGTAACCATTCAGCACCTGACCGATTTTTAGACTTAAACCATAAAAGATACAAATATTTGTTAAATACATCTGTATTTACGATAGAGTATTAAAAACTATATAAGATGTAATTTAGGGCTGCAAAATCGACCACATGGCACTTAGCGGCACTTTAGTTTGAGGACGGCAGTTATCCTCTCCAGTCCAAGGTTGTCTGGAAGAGATCCCTCTGAGCGATAAGACCACCCATATGTACACTGTATCCAGTAATTATGTACAATCTTCTATATTTTATTTTTAATATTTTATATTTTGTGCGGTGTAAAATAAAGAGTTTTTTTATTATTATATTGGTTTCATTTTAACAGCTCAAGGCTGTTTTAAAACAATCTGTAGGGGCTGTATCGAGTATCAGATTGCATCTATTGTTCAGGTACATACTTAAGAGCCCTTTCACATTTTTTGCAAAAAAATGAAATTTTTGAGCGTCTCGTTTACGCCCTTAAAAAATATTTTGACTATTTCCAATAGAAGTTAACAGTAGTTTTATTCTTCCTATTGTAAGTTAATGTAAATATTTTTATAATTAGTTCATTAATAATTATTTTATAAGACTCGAAACATCACCCGTAAAATGCAATATATACTAGTGCAAATCTACTTACGCCCCGATCGTACGGCAGCGGCGCAATTTTGTAAAAGGGCTCATAAAAACACTTAAAATCTTTCTAACTATTCTACAAATATTTAGGATAGCTGTATTATTATTATATTAAAATACTAGCGGTCCGCCCTCGCTTCGCTTCGGTGTAGAGCTGAAGTGTAGACTAGTTTTTGTTCTCAGGCTTGTATTATACACAATGACATTCATCTATGATTCTTCTTATACCTGCATGCAAAGTCTTAGCCCGATCTGTTTAAAATTGACAAAGTTTAATACAAACTTTCATTCCCTATTTTATCCCCTTGGGGGTAGAATTGATCAAAATCCTTTCTTAGCGGATGCCTACGTCATAACATCTACCTGCATGCCAAATTTCAGCCCGATCCTTCCAGTGGTTTGGGCTGTGCGTTGATAGATCACTATGTCAGTCAGTCACCTTTGAGTTTTATATATATAGATTTCGTCTTTTTACTGCACTCACCTTATGAGTATCAGCTGATATACTGGCCACACCGGGCAGCCTGAAGTCGAAGGCGGGGATATGATGTCCCGCCTCCGTCATGAAGGCGGCCACGAACCCGCCCAGGCACGCGTCCACGTGCAAGGGGACCGAGTACTCGCACGCCAGCGCTGACAGCGCGGCGATGTCGTCCATTGTACCGTACGGGAAGTTTGGCGCTGAGCCCACTATCTATACATACAGGGTGTTAAAAAAACCGATGACAAAGAATAAACTGTACAGCCAAACAAGTAATATTACAAAATATAATACGTGAGAAACTTTTGTATTTTTAAGTTCAAAAATACATTTTTTTTCCAGTACGCAATGTAGTTATAGCGCGGCGTGCTACTGTGCCGCTACGCAAAGAATGTGCCTGTGTGTTCTAAATAACGTTTTGAAAATATTAATGTATAAATGTTGAAAAAAAAATCGTAACTTTGACCTTCAATATCTCTATAATCATAAATTTCCCAGGTATAGTCCAGAAGAAGAAAATGATCGTCATGATGTGAATAATAAGTGGCCTTCGACTTCGTTAAAGGTTTTTTACACCCTGTATATAAATAAATATAAACATTCTAAAGAAAATATTCATCATCATCATCATCAGCCCATTAATGTCCCCACTGCTGGGGCACAGGCCTTCCCTATGGATGGAATAGGGAGATCGGGCCATGATCCACCACGCGGGCCCAGTGCGGATTGGTGGGTGCTAACGACTGCAGATGCAGCCGGGAACAACGGCTTAACGTGCCTTCCGAAGCACGGAGGAATTCGAGATAGAAGATTTTTGGTCACCCATCCGCTGACCCACCACTGCGAAAGTTGCTCTACTTCAACAATCGCAGCCAAACGCACTAAACACCTGCGCCATCGAGCTCCTCAAGAAAAATATGTCTAAGAATATATTACTAGAAAAAATCCACGCGGACCAGGCAGCGGACGGAACAAGAACCCGCACCCTTCGCTATCCGGGCTGCACTGACCATTATGCTACCGCAGCCCTAACGGCCATGTGGAATTCTTTCTAACCTTTCTTAAGCTGCAAGGCAGCGTTTTTTCTAGTAATATTTTCTTTAGATTTAAACATCGAACAGTTACATGCTTAAATATACAGGGCGTCCCACGGCTACCTCACACGGAGGGAAAGTATATTAAATATTGAAGATAGGATGTGTGTCTGTCTGTATATCTTCTTTCAGTAAAATATCCTATCTTCAATATTTAATATACTTTCCCTCCGTGTGAGGTAGCCGTGGGACGCCCTGTATATGTATATATAAATAATTCTAACGCTTCCAACCAATTACCTTAGCCCCAGAGCGTTCTACAAACATACCAACAATCCTCTACTACAATCGCTCCACGGGGTAGGCGATTGGGTCAGGAAAGGCAACTGATATTACTGTGATATTTTTGGTATCGCTGCCTTTCATTCCATTTATAGCATGATATATCCTTCCTTATCATGCTATATAGAGAATGAATAGGAGAGACTGCTATCAAATTCACGACACATTTTGAGCGCACGTGATTTATCTAGGGTATTTAACTGTGGCCACAATTCCAACGCGTACAAAGAAATCTGGTGACTCATTTCTTTGTCGCACTGTACGTAAATGGAATGCTCTGCCTGCTCACGTGTTCCCTCCTTCTTACAACCTGGGATCCTTTAAAAGAGGCGTGAAGCAGCAACATGCAGGACGGCAGGGTGAGGATGGCTGGTGTTGCAGGTAGAACTGCTTTACCAGCTATCTTCACATCTGGACTTCACCATCACTTAACATCAGGTAGGGTGGAGTCATTTATTGGACTTATCTATAAAAAAAAATCGTTGGTTTCATGTGACATTATTGCAGCAAAAAAGGACAGTAAACGTTAAAACCGACCGAATTTTCTGATGATGATGACGAGAAGTCATCAAAAAAGTTCTTCTAAATGCTCTCTTTTAGCATCCTATTGATCTGGCTGATAAAGACGATGAGATTTGAGTTTATGAATTAGATGAGGTTGTTAACAACAAAGACAACTCACCAAACAAGTTCTTCTCCCGATGGCTCTCCTCACAGCATCAATATCGACACAGAGCGTCTCCGGATCAACAGGCACAGTTTTGACGGACAGCCCCAAGTACTGCGCTGCCTTGTCGAAGGCAGAATGCACCGTCGAAGGGACCACAATCTGGGGGTTGGTGATGCCATTGTCGTAGGCAAGGTCGCGGAACGCCTTGCATGCCATTATTATAGACTCCGTGCCACCAGTCGTCACCTGAAATTGAGGTGTAATTCATCATTTTTGCCTATTTATCCTACTGCTGGGCATAGGCCTCTATGAATGGGATAGTGAGATTAGACCGCGACCTACCATGCAGGCTCAGTGCAGAAATGTGGGTTCTACTAAGGTCTGCAGAGACACTCGAGATGGTAAATATTTGGGTAACCCATCCTATGACAGGCCAGAGCAAAATTTCAATAGAAATAAAATTAGTATGTTAAGTGAGTTTGAATTGTGATATGGAATCAATAGTGATAGATTTATGAGGGCCCATGGTTTGCAATATTTTTTATAATTTCATCATCATCCTATTAATGTCCCTACTGCTGAGGCACAGGCCTTCCCTATGGATGGAATTAAATTAAAAGAAAAACAATCAAATTTTATTATAGTACGTATAATCAAAAACAAAAAAAGGACATGTAAATTCACAAACTATATTATGTAGATACTTTTAAAAATGTGTTATGTTAATATAATCAACTGCAAAACTAAACGTGCGTAATTCAAGTAAGAAGTCTCAGGACACACTAGATTACTTGTGCTTCCAATTATATCAACGCAATGGAATGTTTTAGAAGGATTGCTATGATTCCACTAGATGGCGTTGCCATCAATATCCAAATTTTTAAAAGTATCCATACTTGCCAAAAAGTACTCATTTAGTTGAAGTATCGAAAACCAAGTATCGAGTACAAAAGTATCGGTATCGAAAGGAAAAGTACTCGATACCACAAAGTATCGATACTTTTTTCGTGTCCCTACTTTGGACCCGCCCAATAAGTAGAATAAATTGCATACATTGCGGTAGAAAATTTTAATATAACAATCGTAGCTAATATTATAATCCCAGAAGTGAACAATATCAAAATCACTACTAGTGTATGTTAGGAATAATCTGATTACAAAACAGAGCATGTTTGTAGTAATCTTATCTGAGAGGATTATAAAAGACTTTGAAACACCAATGCTATCACTAAGTATGCAAAAACTAAACATTAGAGACGTTATAAAACATGATAAAAACAGTTTCACAGATCATACGGATATTTGCATTTGCAGAAATACTATTTGTTCCTTATTAACAGTAAATTAATTTAAAAAAATAAATGTAATCAATTTATGAAATCGAGTGCAGAAAAAAAAATATAAAAAGGTTGACGCTTTAATGAAAACGAATTTTTCCCCAAGCTATAGGATGTTTGGAGAAAAATTCGACTTCCGGAAAAATCCCAGAAAAGGCTTTTAAGGCAAACGACCTCCATTCTAAACCGCTTTAGTGTTTTTGTAATAAGATAATAATAGGATTGCAATTTAACTCATATGTATAGGTATTAACGGAATAGGGTATTTTCCAAATTTTCGAAAACTGCTTATATTTAAAGATTGGGACTAACGATTTAACGGAAAAATAAAAATAAATTTATTTATGTCTTTTTTTTCTCCATTGCACCAATTAAAGTTTTTAATGGTTTTGAATTTACCTTCAAAACGCTCGGTCCGATGACGTCTACTGTGTGACGTCAAGTTTGTGTATGCTATGTAATCATCTGAAAGTCAAATTATTAACTTTTGTTTACGTTCGGGATAAATTTATAGTATTTAAACAAATTTCTTCGCTACTAATTCTGATTTATGTGCTTCAGAGTTTCAAAATATCAAAAACTTTTTGTAAGTATTATACATACTATTAAATAAATCGGGATAAATATCCCGAACGTAAAAAAGTATAATTTGACCTTCAGATGATTACATAGCATACACAAAGTTGACGCCACACATGTAGATGTCCTCGAATCGAGCGTTTTGGGGGTAAATTCAAAACCATTAGAAATAAATTCAAATTTAATTGGTGTAATGGAGAAGAAAAGACATTAATTTATTTATTTTTATTTTTCCGTTAAATCGTTTGTCCCAATCTTTAAATATGAGCATTTTTCGAAAATTTGGAAAGTACCCTATTCCGTTAATAGCTATACAGATGAGTAAAATTGCAATCCTATTATTATCATATTTCATAACATTAAATCGGTTTAGAATAGAGGTCATTTGCCTTAAAAGCCTTTTCTGGGATTTTTCCGGATTCTAACCAAGCGCAATTAATTCAACTTTAATTGGTCTAATGGAGAAAAAAGACATTAATTAATCTATTTCTTATTTTTATGTGAAATTGTTTGCCCCAATCTTTAAATATAAGCTGTTTTTGGAAACCTATTGTTACCATGTACCTTGTTTTTTATCAGTCAGTCGGAAACAGGTGCGAGTGAATAGTGAGATCAATTATAGGGGTATCGAACGCAGTAAAAGACGACATTAGAGGGTAGACCGTTATGTCTGCCAATAACATCTACCCGCAATTACTTCAGTTACACCGTGATCATGGCGCTTGCAACAGTGCCGAAATATCATCGGAAATAATATCGGAGGCTCATAAAAAACAAGGTACATCGTAACAATCCCGTTAACAGCTATAATGTTAGAGACCATGAAAGTTGTTAACTCATCTTGAACAAGAAACGCCGTTTTTGCACTATTCTCTTCATAGAAGACTACAGTTTGCCGCGGTAACTTGAAAATCAACAGATCTAAAATAATATTATGCGATTTAAATAATTTAGTGTTCGCGGTGAGTATGTACGCGTAGATCACACTACATTCAATATTGCATCTCCTCTCCGTATCGACACAGTTACTCACCGTACCGCAGCATCCATCGTTCCCGTTGAATAGGTTGATGGCCATGCGAACGATCTCGGACTCCATCTTGTTGATGCCCGGGAACACATCAGAATGCAGCGGGTTAGTGTAAGCGGTGAGAGCGTACGCGTCGCTCGCCACGCGCGAGATTTCTTCACTCAAGTGGTACACGGCGCCGGATACGCTACCGTTCTTCCAGTCGTATGAGCCTTATTTGTTAGAAGAAGAAACAAGATTATTGTTAATTAAGTAAAAAATAATAGTTATGATTTTATTTATTTTTTAAGCATTCAACTGCGAGATGTTTAAATCTAAAGAAAAGTTTACTAGAAAAAAAATCCACGCGGACCAGGCAGCGGACGGGACTCGAACCCGCATCCTTCGCTATCCGGGCGAATACACTGACCATTATGCTACCACGGCCCTATTAGCCGCGTCGAAATTTTCCTAGCTTTAAGCGATGGCGCTGCCTTGCAGCTTAAGGGTGCGACCAGAGTGCACTCAGATTCAGACTCAGATTCAAATTTCGAAAACAAGCGCGAGAAATAAACAGTGTAGTCTAAGCAGGTTGCTTGATTTTTCTCGCGCTTTGTTTTCTGAGTCTGAATCTGAATCTGAATCAGGAGTGCAATCTGGCCGTACCCTTCGACTACACTGTTTATTTCTCGCGCTTGTTTTCAGAATCTGAATCTGACTCTGAATCTGAGTGCACTCTGGCCGCACCCTACAGCAAGGAAAATTTCGACGCGGCTAATAACCTAACCTCGAAGACAAGACATGTCTTCTTCTTACTTCATTGGGGAAACACAAGCAAAACCTATAAATCGGAGAAAAGGGAATGCAGACTGCGGAAAGCTTCACCACGTGGCATCTACACTGATCATGTATGACCATAATTAGACTTCCTTCGATTTGTGACGAACAAAAAATGACGCATCACTCGTTAAACGCTACACGTGATGCTCGCATATTTATTGATATCGTCATATTTTCGAGGCGCAACAAACGTGATGCACATCTGTCTTCCATGTCTCTTCATTTACCTATGTTAATCCTACCTACCTATGTTAATCTAACCTAATATTATTATTATAAATTTGACCACCTCCGGGGCCGAGTGGTTTATACGCCGGTTCGAATCCCGGTGGGGGCAGATGTTTGTGTGATGAATACGAGCATTTGTACTTCAGTCATGGATGTTTAATATGTAGTTCTATATAAATATACTTATATATGTATCAGTATACGTATTCTATCCGTTACCCTAGTATCCCATAGCACAAGCCAACAGTGCTTACTTTGGGGCTAGGCTAATTGGTTTGAATGTTAGAAATATTTTACTTATTTATTTATATTAAAAACAAAATACACGCATCTACACAAATTGGTAACTCACCACAAAATGTTAATTTTTCACAATCGTTTATGAATCTTATAGCAAGGACAGTAAGCGCAAAATCAGTTGGAAACTTTTTCATTTTAGGTTGACTAGACCCGCGGCTGTCTGAACATTTAACTACGTGAAACAAAGCCGGAACATGACATTATAATCGGACCAACTTTTGGAGTTTCAAATTATAGAATACCTAGTTTCCTATCATGCTGAAGAAAAAACAGCACACGCCAGCTGCCAACGCAACAGTGAAGGTAATAAAAGCCTTTCAAGCTATCGCCAAGACGTGTTGACGGCAATTATGGCAATAGGCTAGTTGACACTTTTTGGAAATATGTTTTAAATGGTTAATAATTGTTCAATTAGACCGAAAAAAAATGTATTGTAATTTTTTTTACCTAGAAAGCTACAAAACTTTAATTTTAAAATAGATTTTTCATGGACATACAAAAACGCTGTCGGCCATTTTAGTCGGTAGATTATCTGTGGTATGACGGGAACAACAGTAAACAAACACTCGCAAGCACGTAGTATATAACCTAATATTATGTATATATATAGATAATCTGAATTTACATTACAAAACCACGATTTCTAATAGATTTCATGATAAATATAGTAATTATCATGATTGTATTATACGAGAATAAAGAAACACATCGTTAAAAACTCCAGAAATGTTGTGGTTTCAATTTTTAAGGTATTGAATGTACTTGCTAAATCAAAGAGTATTGTCGTTTCTGCTTTCACAAATCCGTCGTCCAGCATTAATTTAGTTAAAAAAAACAATAAACGGAAACTTTTCTTCAAGATATAAGAGTATTTAGATATATTTTAGTCGGACGAAAGAAACCATAGTGACGTTTAGTTGTTTTGCTATTATGTTGACGACACAATCAAGGTGGACAACGTTTTTAGTGTTTAAAAAGCATAGACTGAAAAACTATTTTTCAAATTAAATTACTACAGCCATCTTCTAATTTTATGAAGTAAAATCCGATGTGTTTAGGTTCCTCATACCAAAAATTATAAGAAATAAACATTTGTATAGTGCAATTTGACATGAGTTAACTAGCCTATTGAAGCGATATTACTACCCCTTTGATTATCTAACCTGCCAACCACTTAAGGATAACCTGTCCTGAATCGTGTATCTAATGGGAGAAACGTTGAGAATATGACGTTGAGACAATAAAATAAAAAGACCCTTTTCTCCTTCTCCGAGTGCCCTATTTATTATTGCAGTGAAACTTCTCTGCGAACGGGTTGTAAATGGGAAAATCTTATGCAAAAGAACAATCAGAAATGCGTCACGAGCGTCACATGACTATATAAATATATATGTTTGTGTGTGTGTGTGTGTGTGGGATGCGTGCGCAGCTCTTCCCGACGAGCATGAAAGTTGGAGGGTAACTCGGTGAAGACTGAAACGCTACGAACATCACAAGCGTCACACGCGACGAATATATATATTACATACATATATATATATATATTACATACATATATATATATATATATATATACATATGTTACCGGCCAAACCCGATTTCAGGACAAACTAATTATGTCTAGGCTAAACTAGTTCTTCCTATACGCGATAGGATTAACTAGTATAGCCTAGTCCAAACTAATTTGTCCTAAGCCCGATAGGATAAACTAGTACGGCCTAGTCTAAACCAATTTAACAGAGTCGAAAGTAATAGAACAAACATGTCAATACTTGTACAGGTCGAGACATGTAAAAAGAACGCTGGAAGAAAGTGGAGGGAGTGTGTTTGCGCATAGTTACACTCGCACACATAAGTAATAGGCCTTTTGTTTTGTGAGATGCAGCTGCAACAAAAACTGTTCCACAAATAGATGCCAATGATGGCAATGATACTCTGCAATTCAAGAAGCCAAGAAGGCAATGATACTCTGCAATTCTAAGTGCCACCAAAGCACACCATGTAAAAATAAATTACAGTTTTAATAATTGACATATGATTATTGTTTCTATTAAAAAAACACATATTATTTGTTATAGTATGATTGTTTGTATTACTAATTATCCATACCTTTTAACGATGAATCATTATCGTTTTAATAAAAAATATTATTTTTCCAAATACGGAGTATTTTATTCAGTTTATCTATTTATTTTGACTTCTAGATATACTATAATGTTAAGACTAGGCTATACTAGTTTAGTATCAGGATCAACTAGTTTGGCCTAGGCTGAACTGGTTTATACTATCGGGCTTAGGACAAATTAGTTTGGACTAGGCTATACTAGTTAATTCTATCGCGTATAGGAAGAACTAGTTTAGCCTTTTTTTAGGCAAAACTAGTTTGTCCTGAAATCGGGTTTGGCCGGTAACATATATATACATACTAGCAAACTAGTGAACCAAATGTTCACCAAAACCTGATTTCTCGAAAACCGGAAGTGCTACGTTACTCAAATCCGGTTTGTAGTCTTATCAGACTATTCTTAACTTATAACTTAAATATTCTCTTTATTAACTATTTAACTAACTTTATTAAATATCCTTTTTATAACTATTCTTAACTTATATATGAGTGATGCGTGCGCTGCTCCATTCCCCTATGCCTTATGCACCACCTAATGTTACGTTGTTTAAGAAAATAAGTTTCAGTTTACATAGATGTGTGGTCCGTGCACACTTCTTTTTAACTTGAATTTTCTGTACATAAAAATAATAATAAATGCTGAATAAAATGCAATCCGGGCGGATGTACTTATGGCAGCATAGCTATTAGTGCAGTACAGCGGTCGCGGCACGTAACTCTAGCGCTGAAAATTGGTCAGGGATAGCTGCGCATGGGTACGACTGGGGACAATCGGCGCAAAGCGCACCTCGATTCCCCCTAACAAGGGTTACCAGATGATAAAATCAAAAGTCCGGAGAAAAGGCTTGATTGCCATTGAAAAATCCTGAGATTTTTTACAGTTTGAGAATTTTCTCTCACACGTACTTAACAATTTAAAAAAAGTCGTAATATTATCGTTCATACTCTGCTTATACTTTTAAATCAATATAATTTGAAGAGATGTGAACATGTGGGGCATTATATGAATCCATAATTGAAGATAAAATCATACTTAAAAATGTATCTTCACATATTAAGTATGATAAAACTGAATAAGTACCTATTTGGATAATAAAGTACTGATTTTAATTGTGCAATTACTACCAATACATGATTATTTTTAGTTTGTTTATTTTTTTATTAAAAAGATCTTTAAAACGTAAGCTGCATTTTATTGGAAATTTAAAAAATCCTGAGATTCGCAAAATCCAGCCGCAATCCTGAGAAGAGTCCAAAAATACTGAAATCTCAGGACAAATCCTGAGATATGGTAACCCTACCCCCAACACATCTTAATTTTTACTTCTGCGCAAATACTGGTCAGCGCTAGAGTTTCGTGCCGCGACTTATACGGAATGCCCACTACGCTACGCGTCAGTGCCGAGTGGTATTTTTTTATTAAGTTAAAAATAGCAATCAAATTGTCATGTGAAGTGCCGGTATAACTATAACTACAAACCTACAAAGTGACCCTAAGCAAAACTCAAGTCATTACCTTGCTGACAATGAGAAAATTGGGGAATCGATCCAAGACATCAAAACTGATTATACTAACAATTACAGACATGCTAGAGGATGACGTTAACGAGTTAAGAACTCATTATGACGATTCAAAGTGTAATCGTAAGTCCAAAGTATATTGTAAGTAATCCTTTGTTTGCATTGTCTTATTTCGCGAATAGAGAACAAATGTTAGAAGAACCGGTTGATTATGGTCCGGTAAAAATGTAGTTTCTGGGCCCAGGAGGTGAAACCTTTATATTTTTTTTATTGCAAAGGTCTTGGAAGAGGTATTTATCTCGCGCGCGCAACACGGTTTAAAATTCACTGTGTGCGTGTATTCCCTGAAAAAATCAAATCAAACCTCCAATCACCCACCAGAATTAAAACATCAAGCAGGCCAGCGGTGTCATTCGTTATTACTTTATTTTGTTACGAAACTAGCACATTATCGGTATCCGGGACAATAAGGTCTAATGAGGGCTATCGCGTATGAATCCACCGCTAGAGGCGCTAGTGTAGCGTGAGGTCTCCGAAATGTCAAATGCTATTGCTTGTTGGTTGACTACGCGGGTTTATTTCTAATTAAAATAATGTTGTGAATAATTGGTAACAATTCGGCTTAATTATGGCAAATATGAGTTATGTGGCAATGAATGTCAGTTATTAAAAATTTGAGCTTAGAAAAATGATTATGTTCCCATTTTTTCCGAATAAAACGGAACTGCGCGTCACTGTGGCATGGCCTATTATGTTTAGGATATTATGGTTCTTTGTGTTAAAATACGATCTAAATGTAACCTTTGATTTCATGTGCGTATTAATAAACTTTAAAAGTTACAATTTAGGACCTCACTCAACAGTGGCGCCATCTGGTGAGGCAGAAAACGGTAGCCCTCATTACTGGACACGGGACATGACGTAAAATTCCGGGCCAATCCCAGATTCCCCGGCCATCTGGCAAGCCTACTAGTCACATGAATTGCATTTTTTTTTCGGTGACTCCCGCGTACTTTTGTCCTATCCGTTGCCTCAAGAGTCCTCCGATGTTTGGGGGCCTTTTAATACTTCTTGTGAGTTACTCGTTGTAAGCGATCTATTTCGACGGACATAAAAGTACGCGAACAAAAGTCCCTCAGGCCCGCAGGCTACCATTATTTATTTGTCATTTATTAATTTCTAATTACCACGGCATAATACCATTTACAGCAATTAGTAAAAAAAAAAAAAAGAATTACAAACATGAGGATTCACGCTAATTTTTCTCGCAAACAATAGACCGGTCATACATTATTTTATTCCATCCATCTGCATACACATCACACTCAGGCTTATGAGCCAGGAGTGTATTGAGTCATAATGCGACAAGGTTAAGTCGGTGGTATAATAATAATACAGAGTCAGGTCATAAGTAGTGTCACACAGTAAAAACTTTTCTTTTAGAATGCTGGCCACAAAAAAGTTTATTGAATTCGAATTTCGAATTGTTCATGAAAATAAAAATGTAAAGGTACTTTTCAGAATTTTATGAATTGGACGTATTTGTTTCTTAGGTTTTCACGCACATCACTCATTAAATAAAACTAGTTTTTACGGGTTAATGCACGAATAACGTCAATAAATAAATAAAGTTTCGTGCATTAACCCGTAAAAACTAGTTTTATGAATTGGACGCTTAAAGAAGACCGTGTTGCAGTTATTGCGTTGCATTGTTGCGGTTACGCGCCAATTCAAATTTTTGACATACTGAAAATTTTGAATATAACCAAAAGATTCGTTTAATCAAACGATACAATGAAGAATCTAGTGTAGATGACAGGTCAAGAAGTGGTCGCCCTCGGTCTGTTAGGACTCCAGCAGTGATAAAAGCTGTGAAGGCGCGAATTCAGAGAAATCCCAAACGTAAGCAGAAACTGTTGGCCCTTCAGATGGGGTTAAGCAGAACCACGGCTTCGGGCATATCGAAGAAAAACAGGACATCGTTTGATTGAATGCTCGTCTAATGGACCTGAGACTGAAAAGATGTCGCGCTTTGTTGAAGCGGTACGCGGGAAAAAAATATCGGTAAATTCTTTTTTTGAATGAAAAAATTTTTACCGTAGAAGAGAGCTACAACAAACAGAATGATAAGGTGTACGCACACAGTAGTGAAGAAGCGAGTAACCGTATTCCGCGTGTCCAACGAGGTCATTTTCCATCCTCCCTCATGGTATGGTTGGGAGTTTCTTATTGGGGCTTAACAGAGGTACATTTTTGTGAGAATGGTGTAAAAACGAATGCAGTTGTGTATCAAAATACAGTCCTGACGAACCTTGTGGAACCTGTTTCTCATACCATGTTCAACAGGCACTGGATATTCCAAAAAGATTGGGCGCCAGCTCATAGAGCGAAGAGCACACAAGACTGGCTGGCGGCGCGTAAAATCGACTTCATCCGGCACGAAGACTGGCCCTCCTCCAGTCCAGATTTGAATCCGTTAGATTACAAGATATGGCAACACTTGGAGGAAAAGCCGTGCTCAAAGCCTCATCCCAATTTGGAGTCACTCAAGACATCCTTGATTAAGGCAGCCGCCGATATTGACATGGACCTCGTTCGTGCTTTGATTTAACTTATTAAAAATGTAACAGAATTTATGACCTGACTAGGTATTATGACAAACATACTAGTCTTTTAATTACAGCTCAGGTCTTCTTTATGGATTTAACTTATGAAAAATATATATTCCTGTACGGTAAAATCAAAAACTGATAGGTATTTTGGAAGGTAAACCTCCTTATAATAAAACATGAACTAAGGTTAAGTTAAACTTGGTTTAAATCTATTGCTCTCAGTCTTCTTTCTAGTAAATAAGGGCGACAGTATCATTTTTAGGCCAGATTAAATCTTTTCTCAACGTTTTGTGATCAACGTTTGCATACAAAACAGCATCTCAAGATCGTACTCAAGATCGCTATTAATATGGGCCTAAGACAATTAAGTTTTCAAGTATTTTCCGCCGTCCCACTCCCACTCCCACTTACTTCTAATCCTCTCCATCCAAAGGTTGCCTGGAAGAGATCACTTTAAGCGATAAGGCCGCCCATTGCATCACTTGTACTAGATGGTTTTGTACTTAATGTTCAATGTTTTTCGTGGTGTAAAATAAAGAGTTTTTGTATCGAATTGTATTGTATTTTTAAGCTATTAATTATTATTGTTAATAAATATTTTCAGACTTACCCAAATTTACATGGACTCTGACTTCCTCTGCCACTTGTTCTGCCGTGAGACCCTTTTCAGGTAGTTCTCGCCTGATGACGGTGCCAGCTAATCTCTTTGCCACATCCTTGCGGAAATCCCTTTGGATCTCTGCCATTTTCTCCTCAATCTTCCGCCTCACCATCGGAACATGTCGCAACCATCGAAAGAACTGCTTACGGAGTCTTGTAGTAGGACCTACAACAATTTATTAAGAATAAATGCATGACGCCTTGGAAATTTTACATCTCTGTTAAGGTAGAACCGGCGGCATAATGGTAATTACATTGAATGGTATTTGAAACGCTTGTTAGATTATAGCCTGATATTATAGCCATACATTACTAATAGGATGAGTCAAGTTTTCTCCATAAATAAATAATTCAGATATAAAAATATTGCATTGAAATAAATGTTGCATACATAAAATATATTAGAATTTATTGGTACTTTGCATTTACTAATTATTATGTTTCTAAAACAAAAAGAGATGTGGAAATAAATGTTTGTGGTTGCATGTAAGTATTACGAAGTGTAACAATACTAATTTAGATCTGCAAACAAACTTTATCTAACACATACAAAGTTTTACTATAGTAATATGTACTACATTTATGACTCACAAAACAGACAAGAATCAGTCTAACCCGGCTGAACAGAATTTTGAGAAACTGAACTGATAACATTTTAGTTGGTTAAAAGACAGTTTAGAGTATTTAAATGTGCCTATTGTATTTAAAAAGCGAAATACAGTAGAACGCCGATTATCCGAATAAATTGGGACCGGGGTTGATTCGGATTATTGGACGACTGTCACTAATAGAATAAACTTTATTAAGACCGCAGACGTAAAACATGTAGTGTCTTGCCTCTAGCTTTCAACCATATCAGTTGAAATATATCTGGACTCCAGGCAGTTTCAACTTATTACAACAAGACAAAGCATAAACAAATTGGTTCTAATTTTTTATATTATGCTTAGGACCAATTATTACTAATTAGGACTAATTATTTAGGGTGATATTTGCCCAGATTCAATAAAAAGTATGTACATTTCAAAAGATATACAGCAAATTATGATAAAAAATTTGTTATTCTTCCATTAATCATCAATGTATAATAATAATAACTGTAGATTTATTTCCTGGATATTAATAGGATTCACGTTTCATTCCCATTGGGAAAATAAACTGTTGTTGATGAACATTTTATATATAAATAAATTAAAATAGCTGAGTATCAGAGTCTTAGCAGCAATTCACATGTTGGTATATGATAAAAAATGCATTTGTTATATTGTTGGAAAGGGTGGACTAATGAGGCATGTCAAACAGTGAGTGAGGCATATAATAAGAATTTACTCATTATGATTTGTAATACTTACTCTCTCTGGCATTATAAAGACTTGATGCCCAAACAATAGCCAATATAGATGATGCAGTCATAGTAACGATCTGCCATGGCTCCTTGCCATCGAAAAACCTATTGATTGCCTTGAGAGGCTGCGGGCGTTCACTCATGACTAAAGAAACAAACAAAAAACATTTAAATGAAATACTTCACATACAGCTTACGTCTCTTATTTGAACAACATAACTGCTCAGAGTTTCTCTGTCTCCCACATAATGAACCCAGCAACTGCAAGGTGAATCCATGGATTGCTAAGCAGTTCGTCTCTCACTTAATTTGGTAAATTTATATGCATTAGTCAATTATGTTGCTGTTGCTATAATGTGTGTAAAGCTGACTGCAAAAACCTTTTTATCCAAAGTTACATAAAGAATTAAATATAACATCAAGATCAAAACAAAAGGAGGGATGATAAATTAATAACCAAATCTTCAATTTACATCTCACTGCTGTTTTACTATTATTTTGTTATTTACTAATAATAATGTAGAAATAAAATATTGTTAATACTTACTGAGTTATTTACCACTACAATACCGGTCAGGTAAAATTTATATTATCACTGTTCTAATTCCTTCTATACCTTTGTTTCTCTTTTATGTATTGATGCTTAATTAACGATGACCTTTGCGCCTAGGTATTTGAATGATATCTACACAATCAAACTCGTAGATAACTTGATAATATACGCATAATCACATTTCACTGCTAACTTGCTGATTTACAAGTCTGTGCTCATGCCGTCCGAGCTCAGGCTAAAGTCGAATTTAATAAACAACAGACGACTCAATCTTGCTCTTGACAGCACTAAAATAAATATTAATTATTACGAGTGCTCTCAGTCTTATCCGGTCAGATAATGAGAAAATTTATTATTCCAAAAACAACAGCAGAGCAGCAGCACATCAATAAATTGATAAATTTCACCAATTTATTTAAAACCTTATATTCTTAAACATAACGTTAAAAAATGGTTAGCAAAATTGTAGCAGCTACGTTCAGAACCTACTCTCCAGCTACTTTGTACTCTGGTGTTTTTATCGTCATTTTGACAGGGGTATTCTTAACTTACTTTTTTTTTCTTTTTTTTTCTTAATGGCTTCGCACGGTTTGTGCATTTAGCCAATGTCAAGTGTAAAATGTTTACATATTATAAAGCACTCGTGGTCAAAATATTAGTCAAGTCAAAGTAAGTGGCAGTAAAGTCAATACCCCTTTCCCTATGTTTCAGTAAATGTGTGGGGATTTACTGGAACCTCCCCGTGGACTTCTTGAGGGAACGTCGAAAGATACCTTCCGCTATTTTGTTTCACTTGCCAACACTTGTGCATGTTTCCGAACACTTAGTGGTTAATAATCCACCATTATTAGACACTAACATCCGCCACAACACAATTTTTAACAAGAAAAACAAAACTGCTAAAGAGACGCTTCCCGATCCCGCCAAAAAGTCTCCTTATCTTACTTTATGGAGAGACTATTGTCAAGTGTACGCACAAGTAAATGCAGGATTTACACTGCCCAATTTTAAAGGACCCTTACCCTGACTAAGGGTGCGGCCAGAGTGCACTCAGATTCAGATTCAGACTCAGAAAACAAGCGCGAGAAATATACAGTGTAGTTTAAGCAGGTTGCCTGCTGCCACTATGGCCACCCTGCTTTAACTACACTGTTTATTTCTCGCGCTTGTTTTCCGAGTCTGAATCTGAATCTGAATCTGAGTGCACTCTGGCTGGCCGTACCCTAAGGATGGCGTAATGTGAGGAGTAAGGGTGCGGCCAGAGTGCACTCAGATTCAGATTCAGATTCAGATTCCGAAAACAAGCGCGACAAATAAACAGTGTAGTCGAAGGGTACGGCCAGAGTGCACTCCTGATTTAGATTTAGATTCAGATTCAGACTCAGAAAACAAAGCGCGAGAAAAAGCAGGCAACCTGCTTAGACTACAGTGGTGCCAATTCTGGCGTGATTCTCTAAACTTATAACTAAATTTAACATCAGTCTTTCCTTCTCATTATTTATAGAGAATGACAAGGATATACTGCTGTCAAATTTTAGTTTAGGTTTAGAGAATCATGCTAGAATCGACACCACTGTTTATTTCTCGCGCTTGTTTTCAGAATCTGAATCTGAATCTGAATCTGAGTGCACTCTGGCCGCACCTTAAGGGACCCGATCTAGGGCAATCGACGCGTTGTAACAATAATCTATGCTATGACGTCAACCGATAGTAAACAAAAACTCGTAAGCACATAGAAAATAATCTATCTGAGTTTATAATAATAAAAAAAACAAGATTTTTAATAAATACCACTAAAAATACAGTAATTATCATTATTCTATTTTACGAAAATGTAAAAACACATCCTTGAAGACTCCAGGAAAGTTGTGGATTAAAGTGCCGAAAGAAATTAACCTACGCAATGCCTGGCTAGAACTTGCTAAAAGGGATCCTGAAACTTTATCGACTTATAGTAAAATTTATTTTTGCGAAGATCACTTTGACGTAAGTACTCATTGAATAATAAATAATACAACTTTTAAGGTTATGTATGAATGGCAATGTTTCATATCAAAGAGACGTCACAATCATGTCATCATGACGGATGTGGCGAACAGCGTTTTTAGTGTTTAAAAAGCATGGACTATTATTTTTTTTAATTAAATTTCTACAGCAATCTTCTGCTTTTATGAAGTGAAATCGATATATTTAGGTTCCTCAGACCAAATACTTTAGGAAACAAACATTTATTTAATACAATTCGACATGAGTCAACTGACCTATTGGCAACTGGGGCCTATTTCATAAAAGGAGTGGTAAATACGACTGTTTTTACTAGTAGTTTATTGTGGTTGAATAGTGTTTCATAATTTTATTTTTTTACTACAGTATCTTGGATGGGTGACCAAAAACTTGTTATCTCGAGCTGCTCCGTGCTTCGGAAGGCAGGTTAAGCCGTTGGTCCCGCTCCCGGCTACATCGGCAGTCGTTAGCATGGCGAATTCGATAATTTAATGCATTCTGAGTTCATATAAAAAACACTGTTTCTAACTATTTAGACCCTAAAACTCCGCTATATTTTTTTTTTGTTGAAGTTCTCCCGTTTTAGGGAAGGCAAAGGGAACAATGCCCATACAGCCTGGTCTTTAATTAAATTTATCTTCTTTTTGTTTTTACATTAGAATGTCGGTGTGACGCATTCTAATGTTTCTTGGAGTGTTTGGCACGAAATGTATCGAGTTGGCTTTTTCGATAAGCTTCTGTGAGGTAGTCAGTCAACACTACAATAAAATTCTCACGTCCACTTGACCGGAATAGCGTATATTTTAATGATTCCACTAATTCTTCAGTTACGCAGACAGTTGTTACACAAAACCACACCAATTTTACTTCACAATATCCACAATGAACGAATTTAAGAATAATTAAAATAAGACGCCAACCGCACTCGATGAAATCCCGCCAAAAAACACTCCGCTATAAACCGTTTTAATCTTGACATTTTGCCAGTAATGTTGCCAGTGTAAACAAAAAATGTTGCTCTTTAATTACTTAAAATTCTTCCATAAAAAATAGTAAATTTATAACCTTAAAAACTTTCCTGGCTTCTTTCTATTCACCCCGTAATTTCTATACACCCCGTTTTACGGTACTATATTTAATCGTTACTTAAGTATACAATGGTGTACATTCTGACATGATTCTCTAAATATAAACTTAAATTTGACAATAGTGTACCCTTGTCATTCTTTAAACAGAATTAAAATGAGAGACCGAAGATAAATTTTGATTTAAGTTTAGAGAATCATGCCGGAGTCGACACCAATGAAAAAATCGGGAGACATGGTCGCTAAACCGGGATATCGGGATGGAAAAGCAAAAATCGATAGATCTCCCGATTAATCGGGAACTTTGCATCATTGGTTTAACGGTTTCGGTTGTTTGTTGTTTAGGTTTAGATTTTGCTCAGCATTTTGGAAATAATTTTAAACTCTTTCGCTTTATGTTTCTCTTTGTTTGTTGGTGTCGGTCATCCTTGTTTATAGATATCAATTGTGTTTGAATCTACGATTTTGTGTAAAAAGTTATATTTTATTTTGCTTTCTAACTGCCTTTTTTTGTGATATTTGAACAAATGTACATGTGAGGGACAGAAAGTGATTTGGACTTACGATTTTTTATTTTATCCGATAGCCTTTAGAGCAGCGCCAGTCTGCCTGTATTTTCGTAAGTTTCCGGATGTTGTAGTAATGTTATCTTGAGCTAGTTTAGGACTGTCCTTCACGTAATCTGTTGATTTGATGATGTTCTTTTGTGCTCATTGAACAACCGCCGCGTTAACTATATATAATTTAGATCGGGGCTTTTCGGAAGTCGACCGATCGCTATGGCGTCGTAGTTGTAACAGTTAGCTGACAGATACTGCCTGTCTACCCGCGTATTACAATAAAAATCGTCCAAGGGATAGGAAAAGGTGGGTAAGCGGATGTAATGTTACGTTATCATACCTAACGGATTCAATATATTTGAAACTGAATATGACCGCCCCGCAAAGAGCTGCTAAGCTCTTTAGCATATTCTAAATATCGGTTAAGTTGATTTTCCGAATAAAGTTGATTTCAATTCCAAAACTGAGTTGATTTTCCGAATTAAGCTGATTTCCGCATGGGTAAGAATGCAAAATCCAATAAAAACTTTTAATAAAGTTGATTTACCTATAGGATTGATTGCACAAACCGCTGATGTACCATGAAGTTTAATTAAAATGTACATAAAAAATATGTTTGATAATAAAGCTAAGTTAAAAAATATATATATATATAAAATTTGTTTTTAATTAATTAGCATCGCATTTTGGCAATGGACACACCTTAGTTAACGATCTGAGACAAGATCCGGAACTGGTCCTAATCTTTACAACGCGTACCACGCCATCTGTTCCAGGATGGAGCGCAGATACTCGTCCCTTTCGCCACCTAAGGGATGTAGTGTGATCGTCTTTAATCAAAACCAGGTCACCCAACATCAAATTGGGGATGGTTTTACACCATTTAGCGCGCTGTTGAAGATTGTGAAGATATTCACCCTGCCATCTTTGCCAAAAGTAAT